ATCTTTGTTAAAGCGCTTGTGTAAAATTATAATTAATAAACATCTTACATTATACGTTTTATTAATTAATGCAATTAATCTAGTTATTTGTTTAAAAAAACACATGTCTTTATTTGGGTTAAAGTGCGATTCTAGTGCACTAGTGACGCAGAGATTACTTAAAAACAAAGTTATTTTTAAATAAATATAGTAAATTATTTACCTTTAATTTAAAATACTTAATACATTACATATTAATACAAGAAGAAATATAAAAATAAACAATAAGGTTTTAAAATATAATATCTTAAACAATGTATAACTATGTATTTCAAGGATATAATTGTTTTATGTTTCAAAATCAGTTTACAAATAATTATTGTATTATATATTAAATAACAATTACGAGTATAATTTATAATTTATAATTGTTATTTAATCTGTAAGATAGAGGAAATCATTTAAAGTTATTTTAAACGTATATAATTCTTATGGAATTTTTATTTTTACTAAAATTGTGATAATAAATTTAAATTAGCACTGCAATTTAAATTTTAAAAAATGGATTATTATTAAAAAAATCAAAGAAATCAATCGATGTAAACTTAGTTTTAGTCTTAGACTTAGCGTCCGTTACAATAAAAAATTGTGAGTAAAAGCTACCGTAATTAAATTAAATACTATTACAATAGTTACTATTGCAAACATGTTTATTATGCTTGTAATAATTAGGCTTAAGCTTATAAGCATCATAATTACGGTAGTTTTACTCACAATTTTTGATTGTAACGGACGATACAAAAATTCCCGACTAACGTGGAATGGCTGAATAGTTACTCTAATATTATTAAGATACATAATTCAACTAAAAACCTATTCAAAATTGTTCATTGTGTTAAAGAATAAAAGGCTATTTATTTTAATTTTTGTATTACTTTCGGATAGTTGAAACATGGCTCCAATTTTCAATAAAATATTTTAGGTTCAATTGTTGCCCTGTGTTTTTTTTAACATCTTAATAATAAAAATAATAATATTTATTTATCGAAAGGATTATTTATCATACGAATTCTGATGTATACATGTGTTATAACATCAGTGATGTTTATATTTGGTTTATTGTATTTAATTTAATTGTATTTTAATTTTTTTACGGATCCTATATTACTTTAAATTAATATAGGATCAGTAAAAAAATGAAAATACAATTAAATTAAATAAAGGGTGTATCAATAAGAGCGCAAGATTTGAATTTCGCCAGTCATATGATGTCACATGATTAATGACATGACAGATTGATAGAAGACAGATGGGAGTTAGTAAATATGGAGCATTACACAATAGAAAAACCCGTCCCGATTGTTAAACACTATTATCAAAATGATGAAAGTTTGATTGCCACGATTCGTAAAGGGCGTCCAATATTTTTTTGAAATAATGTTTCTAATTCATCTACCTTGAAAAGAATAATCAAAAAATTCGAAAGCACTGCTTCGGTTAGTGATGTGAAACACACGACACGAGCTCGTAGAGGTCGTTCAGAACAAAATATCGCAGCAGTTCGTGAGTGTGTGGCCGAGAGTCCAGAGACGTCGATTCGCCATCGTGCACAAGAATTGGACATTAAAAAAGCCACTTTTCAGCGAATTCTTACTAAAGATTTGCATCTTCATGCCTACAAAGTCCAATTGACTCAACAACTCCACCCAAAACAGCGAAGAGAGTTCACAAATTGGATCCTTGAGCAGCAAGAAGTGAATGCCGATTTTGCGGACAAAATCATGTTCAGTGATGAGGCCCATTTTCACCAGTATTTAACACCCTTGGACTTTTGCCTGTGGGGTTATTTGAAGTCACAAGTTTATGCCAACAAGCCCGCCACCATCGAAGCCTTAAAAGCAGAAATTAGACGCTCTATCAACGAAATACCGCCACATGTATTCAATAATGTTATTGCAAATTTTGCCAAAAGAATACGCATGTGTCAGTTAAGCCGAGGTGGCCATTTACCAGATGTGTTATTTTATACATAATTTCCAAATGTGTACTTTATAAATCAATAAATATTTCAATGCTTTAATACTTAAAACCATGTTTTATTAAACTTTGAAATCTTGCGCTCTTATTGATACACCCTTTACAATAAACCAAATTTAAACATCAGAATTCGTATGAAGTAATCCTGAACCGAAAAAAAAACATGCAATAACAAAATTTTTTTACATTTAACACAAACTTATCAAATAAAGAGGTTTTTATAGGTTCAGGCAGTTTATTATACAGCATGGCCCGTATATAATAGGGTTTATTTACATTCAGTTTAAGCCTATGTGCATCATATTGAAAATTAAATCCAAACCTTGTATTATAGTTATAAATTAACTTATAATAACTGTTTAGAAAATTAAATTGACATCAATTGTTTTTTACAAATTTTTAAACTTCCAGTATAATCAAACATGGTAGTGTTTCCCTGATCAATAAACTTAAAACCAAGCATTGATCTTTTTTAAATTAGAAATACTCGTCTGAGTCTGCATTTAAAAACACAGGTTGTTATGTAATTAATGTAATATACAGCACCTAAAACTTTTTTTTTCTAAATTCTAAAGACTAAAAATAATATCAAAAAGTACGCCACTAATCGACTAGGAACTTTAGGCTAATCTGGTTGCCTAATTTAATTTATTATGTTATGGTTGGTAACAACAGCGTTTCCAGATTCTGTCAAAAAAAGTTGCAAAATTTTGTTTAAATTTAGCTTAATTACAAAAATGGCAAAATCAACAACGCAAATTGTTAATTTCCCAGATAGCACACAACGTCTTGAAGATGTCTTTTGTATGTCTGTATTATGGCTGAACGTCTGAAGATCTAAAAAAAAACGTCTGAATGACGTCTTTTGATAGACGTCTTAAAGATATAGTGAATTTTGACAAGTCAAAATTATATCCCATAATCAGCCACTTCATAGTAAGATATAATTAGATACCATCTTATTTTGTTGTAATAGAAAAACATTAATGTAGGATTTTGAGTTTTGACAACGATGATGGGTAGGGTAACTATATAAATATATAACTGACATTTTTGTAGATTGGTTATTTTTCCTACAATTAATAATATCCATTTGTGATAAAAACATTATAAACAAACAGGTTTATTAAAAATTAAGTATTAAGACAAAATAACCTTAAAATAACCCAGGGAAAGTTTTTAAAACAAATTACCCTCACATTTTCCATCAAATCGGCACCATCTTATAAGTCATGTGATCTCTTGTATGTTGAATTTGGTTAAATGCCATTACTAATCGTGGCGGTTTGCTTTTTCATGTTCCCGTTCGACGTTCAACAACTTAAGTGACAAGTCAAAGCAGTGTGCACTGCACACTGTGCAGTGTTGGTTTTCTATTTTTTGTGTGAATTTGGTGTAGTTTTTGTGGTGTTTTCCGAGAAAATAATTGATAGCCCCAGGGTCTCTGACCCTGATACCCCCCTATAATACACTCAAGAAGGGCTTCGGACAGAAGGGTTCTACTTGCCAAGAAGTTTTGACTATTGTTTTGAATTAATAAATTATTAAAATTAAATTAATTTTTTTTTATTTTAAATAGAAGTATACGTTATTTGCTACATTTTAAATACTTAATACCTTAAAAACGTTTTGGTAGCAATGCATTTATATAACCAAGACGTTTTCAATAGGTAGTCTTTAACATCTTAAAGACGTCTTAACTACGTTTAGCAAAGACTTAATAATGTCATTAAAAGGACAGACGCTGTGTTTTTTAACATTAGATATCTTAAAGATGACTCACATTTTCCATCACTTTTATTAATATTTAAGGCAATAGCATTATCTTTTCTTCTTCAATGTTATCTTTTAGGGTTGCCACGGTATGTGGCTTATTCACATAAAGACAAAACTTAAAAATCCCAAAGAAAGAACTCTGGAGTAGTCAAATCAGGCGAACAACAATGTAAACTCTGCTCGCGATATTTCCCGGTTTCCTAATTTCTTATTTTGGTGATTTGCAAACTGCTCTAGACTTCTTTTTTTTAAGGTTATTTGAAGTATCGTGTTTGTGTGAACAAGGCACAGTCCTTGGCAGACCTAAAAAACATTGTAGATAAAATGACAAATCTATCGCCTGAAGTATTAAGAAAATTAATGGAAAATGCTCCAAATCGTGTAAATGCAATCAACATCAACTATGGCCGCGGCCACTTGGCCTCGTCTTAACCTGAAAAAATGTGATGGTCCAACTAAACATTATTCACAAACAGAACGGTTTTTTTCATTTACAAAAAAGTTAAAGCCTTGGGAAATCGGGTGATTACTTTTGCGCCACCTTGTATATACCAGTACACATATTGTATATAATTATATAAAATCTTTTTAACTCGGGCTTGGAAATTAAGCAACCGCATATTAAATTTGAAAAAGGCAAAATCAAACGTCACATGACATGTTGTTAATAACATAGAATATTACTTCCTATATACAAAGTGGTGAATACTTATATAATACTTCTGTAATCTAGAAAATGCCGCTTTCTCCTTATACCCCAAGACGCGACTTACTTACATCTTTCTCACACTCAGTCGTGGAATTAAAGTTAAACCAACTACATAGAAAGTGGAACGCGAAATTGATGTTTTTCTGTTTTGGTGCTGTTTAGTGCATTTTAATATGGGTTTGGGGGGAAAATGCGATACATGGGTATGTTTATTTAATGTTAGTTTTTTTGTTAAATGTACACATAAATAAAATGTTTCACTAATAAATAATTTAAATGTATTTAAAATAAAGATATAGTTATCGGCTGCAGCGCAAATCTCACATACATTTTAGGCAAAAATACTTGTTTGTTAAAGTATGTTTTGCTTTGCATTACTTATTAACAATAAGTTATTGTTATTATATTATCTATTATTTATCTATGTTAATTTTAATACATTTTTAAATATTTTTTGGCAATTGCAACCTCAAAATAAATTTAGTTGATATTATACGTTGTAAAAGATGGTCAGGGTTGAAAAGGTACCTATTTTTTTGAAACAATAATATTTCATTTTTATAATATTAAAATATTCACTGCATTTAAATATTGTTTTAGAATCATCAAGTGGCCACGAATGTTAAAGAAGAGTCTCATCATGTTTCAAGAGACAAACGAGGCCAAGTTCTTGGAAAAGGAGAATTACAAGAATTTCGTGGCTGTACAATTTGGTTTACAGGTACGTAAATCTATTTTTTTTTAATAAAGCTTGATGGGCTATGCCTACGTAGAACTAAAAATGTCCACTATAGGTACCTATGTCACACCGAACCATAATCAGAGTGTCCCAAAAGGCAGGCATACTTTCCGACAATTGGTTAAAGATGCTTCAAAAATGTGTCTACCAAAAAAAATTTCCCTTCTGCTATTACTATATTAATTTCAAAAAAGCTGATATTTGGCTACGGTTACTGGGTCAAATATTAATTAGTGGATCCCACTCTAATGCATAACATAACATAACAGATTTAAAGATATTAATTTAGAAGGTTAAAAAGTCTTGCCCAAATAATAATAATAATATTAAATATTGCACGAAACACAATGCGCTGGTTTAAACGATTTTAACCAGCTATATATCTTGGTTTTCTCTGTATCAGATAGTATAGTTCTTAAGAATTGGTACCGCTTAGCGAGGGGTAAACCACTGATTTTTAAAAATTAAAAATCTCTACGAATTAGAGAGAAATTTGTTATGGATAAGGATTTTTAATTATTGATAAGGAAAAAATCCGAACACAACGTCCACCTAACGTTGAATGTTGGTCTCGCTGTTTTTAAAGTGGTTTACGGTAAACCGTTTACCACTCGCCGCTTAGTCTACTCTCTTAAAATGAATTAGTAAAAAATGACTAATTGTCATAGCGAAAAAGCAGCCACTAATAACTGAAGTCCACATCAATTTGTATCCCGGACATTTAACACTCAATATTGAGTGTAAGTAATATTACTTTAATAAATTGTCCGCTGGATTAGAAAATGTCGTCAAAAGTTATAAAATATAATATAATATAAAGTAATAATATAAATTAATAATAATAAATAATTAATAATAATAATAATATAGAATTTTAAAAATGTTTGGTTTGTCACTGGCTTATATTTTTTATCAGTAATATTTTTTACAAAACACTTAATTAGTCAACAAGTTGTTTATAACAACCTAAAAAATTGACGCCATTCAATTTTAAACAATAACAGGTTACGTGGTAACCATAGATACCCTCAACAATAATATTTAAAATTTTAGAAATTTTTAAATATCTCTAAAATTATTAATTTTAAGTATAGGTATTAGTAACATCAATCGAAAGTTTGTTTAATTTGCCATTTGATTATGTAAAATCCGGGTATTACATTTAAAATAAAAAAGTTATTTAGCTTTTAAGTTAGCCTAATCGTCACCCTAATATTACAAGGTTGTATGTCATGTTTTTTGCACTTTCCGACTTAATAATATAACAAGGTTGTATGTTACCAAATCTTTCTTTTTCAAGCAAAACATAGATGGAATTACCCATATTAAGTAAAATATTAGGAAAATTACGGAGGTGTATGTGCTTTAATATGTTTAATAAAACCAACAGAGGTGTATGTTTAACATACACCTTTGTTATAAATACTTTGGAAATAAATTAACATTAACAAGGGTGTATGTCCATTAGGCTTGTCAAAGACATTTTGTGAGAATTTACCTTAATCACAAAAATGACACAATCAACAATACTTGTGTAACGTCAAATTTACAATTTGCATTGTTCTTTGTTTTTGACATACAAACATTTTAACGCAACTTTATGTGCTATTAAAGTGAGATTCTGAGTTCTGTGTGACATCTCATTTACAAGTGCTGTAATTAATTTGTTAATAATTAAATAATAAAAACATGGATGCCCAAGGTAGATCTAGAATATTACTAAGCGATTTTACCAAAGCAGAACAGTTCAAGCGTCCAGGCGGCAGTAGTAAATAAAACAGGAAAAAAAATAAAAAAGTGATTTTACCAAAGGACAAACTAAAACGGCAGTAGTTAAAAATTTAAAACAAAAAAAAAAGCACAAAAAACACAAAAAAATTGAATAATCATGCTAATTTCTATTAACTGTATATTTTTATTATAACATTTGTTTAAAGTTTTTGTATTTTAAATATTTTTCTTTTGTAGTTTTTATTTTTTCAGTTTAGTTCTAATTTTGAAGTATACGGTAATTAAAATATTTAAGTTAATTAAAATGTCATAGTTCTATGTAACGTAAATAATCAATAAATATAATTAAAAAAATTTACAAAGTTGTATGTTTTTTTCAAAATTTTACTAATTTTGAATATAACAACAATTGAGTCAAAATAAACATAAGAATTTACTAAGATTGCATATGAAATCAGCTCAAAGCAAAATCACAAGTAAAAAATATTGACTGTACCTAAAGGCTGATGGGCTTTTTTTGTTTTACGTTTTACTCAAAATGTGTAAATAGTAACATGCAACCTTGTAATATTAGGGTGACGTAATGTGTCAGGTAATTTGTTGAAAATGTTAAAGAATTGACATGGAATATTTTAAACAATGTTTAAAAAGATTCCGAAAATTCCACCGCCTTATTCCCAAACCTAATAACAAAAAAGAATAAGGCTATTTATGATTAACGCGCATTTGTCAATTTTAACGGAAAAAATTAATAATTCGAAAACTTTTCACTTTAGGTATAGGACATGATATAGTAATTTATACAGAATTTAATATTGTAAAAATATATGGGGTATTCTATTTAAAATAAAAAAATTGATGTCACTTTCGGTTAACTATTTAAAATAAAAAAATTGATGTCACTTTCGGTTAAACCGGAAGAGGAATTTTGTTTAAAATATTTTAGAAAAATACACAAATGGATTATAAAGAACTTTATGCTTTCCAGATTCAATTGACTTACCCATAATTGGAATAAATAAATCATAATCTGGAGAAACATTTTTTGGTAAAAACGCATATAAAATGTTTTGTTTTTATTAATAGTTAGTCCATTTTCCTCACACCATTTATTGAACCAGTTAGATTTTAAAGAGGCTTCGGAGCATAAGTTTGAAATATTATTATTTTGAATAATAAGGTTGGTATCATCTGCATAAAGAATAATTTTCTTATTTATATTTGTATTTAAATTTAAACAGCGCCGTAGCAACAACCCAACGGGCCCGGGTTCCAGGCTATACCCACGGGCCTCTAGGTGTTTTTTTTATTTTGTACTAATTAATATTTTTTATGTTATATTTGGAAGGAACACAACAACCTTTATACCCCATTAAATCTACCGCTTTGATAGTGAAGAAAAAATAAAAGACTATAATATATTGTCTATTTTATTATATAAAATATATATACAGGGTGTCCGGGAAAAGGAAGTCAATCCGTTAACCATATATTCCTTTCGTAATACCATTTTTCAATTTAGAGCTTCATGTTCGATATACAGGGTGACAAAGTTTGAAATTTAAAACTGATTTTTTTTAATAATTCGAGTAATTGATAACATATTAAGTTCAAATTCGGTACACTACTTTAACATAAATAGTTAGATTTTTTGAGACCAACAAAACAAAAAACAATTGTCAAATAATCAAAATAGGGGGGTCCAGTACTCACTGACTCTTCCTATTTTTTAGTAGGTACGTGCGCCAATGACTTCCAAACGGTATTTTTTCAGGTAATCATTTATTGTTAAAAAAATTTTGTCTCTTATAAAATTTTGATAAAATGATTTGTTTTAGAGATAATTTGTAAAGTCATCAAAAAAACCTTTGCGAATACGTTTTTGGCAAAATTCTGGAATTATGCCCCATTTACTTGCTGTAATATTGGCCTCTTTTTATATCTAACAATTCATTCCGAAGTGTGCTTATGTCATTTAACACATTTTTTAAAAGTTTACTAGATTTTTGGATATCTTGCTGCTGATTTTGTAAGAGTTTTGATACTGTGTCTATGCGATTTAAAATTTTAGATTGTGAAATAATCAAAAACACTGTTTCAAAGTCCTCCAATGTACTTTTAAATCCTTTCGAGTCTTCTATTTCAGCCTTATTAATAATTTTTGACAAGGGGTCAGTCCATGTCAACTCAACACACCCATTTTACCACACCACCTCAGATTTTCTTAAAATTTGGTATACTTATACTATGTACTAAGACTAAGAAAAATACCAATTTTTAAATTTTTATCTCACACCGTTTCCGATATATGGCTATGTAAAGTTTTTAAAAACTCGCGAAAAAAGTATGAACGTGTATTTTTTAAATTGCTCTGGAAGCTGTCCTAATTCAGCTAGAAAGCTGGGAGAGGTGTCATTTTGCAGCATTTTAAATGTTCTTTCAAATGACATACGAACGCCAAGGGTATTAATGAAAAGATTTTGTTCAAAATCCATATATATATTTTGATTCAATTTTTTTTCAAAAAGTACATAATTTAAAATTCTCAAAATATTTGTATAAATACTTAGTACTGTTTTAAACCATATAGTAAAATATAAATGTGGGGTCTTAATGGGTTCATGTTAAAAAAAAATGATTTGTTTTTTTCATTGGATTATAACACTGCACTCTTACAATAGTAGGCTCCATGTTGACACCAAAATCACTTTAAACACACCTCATTTATAGTTTTATTTTTAAATAAACTACGAATATATACAGGGTCCGATAAAAGTTCCCTGAATTTTTTTTAAGCGAGTTTTAAATTTATCAATAAGGTTTTCGCGGAAATTGTTTGCTCGAGCAGGTTCCTAGAACCCTTTCATTTCTGAAAATATTCATTTTATGTTCTGTTTAAAATTTAGTTCAATATGAATCCCCAAAAAAAGCGTATCACAGTAATTGAATTAAAAAAGTAGGGAATGTAGGCAGCCGATATTATTAGGGTTCTTAGAACCCTTATATTTTTGAAAATATTCATTTTATGTTGTTTTGTTTAAAATTTAGTTCAATATGAATCGCCAAAACAAGCGTATCACAGTAATTAAATTACACAAGTCGGAAATGATGACAGCCGACATTATAAAAAAAATACAATTGTCAGGCTTAAGCCTGATAAACGTTGAATAATGTCAAAATTAGTTAAAAGTGAAAAACCAGCATCAGAAATATTTTTTTTAACAATGAACCCATTAAGACCCCACATTAATATTTTATTATATGATTCAGAACACTACCAAGTATTTATACAAATATTTTGAGAATTTTAAATTATGTACTTTTAAAAAAAAAATTGAATCAAAATATATATATGAATTTTGAACAAAATCTTTTCATTAATACCCTTGGCAGTCGTATGTCATTTGAAAGAGCATTTAAAATGCTGCAAAATGACACCTCTCCCAGCTTTCTAACTAAATTAGGACAGCTTCCAGCGCAATTTAAAAAATAAACGTTCACACTTTTTTCGCGAGTTTTTAAAAACTTTACATAGCCATATATCGGAAACGGTGTGAGATAAAAATTTAAAAATTGGTATTTTTCTTAGTCTTAGTACATAGTATAAGTATACCAAATTTTAGGAAAATCTGAAATGGTGAGGAAAAATTTTTTTTTAAAGTGTGTTGATTTGGCATGGAATGGCTCCAAGGCCTTAAGAACATCAAGATACCTAAAACGTAGGGCTTTTATTGCATCATTGCGTGAAGACCAACGGGTTGTTGATAGTTTTTTAAGTTTTCATTTTGACTCGCTTTTACATGATTTAAGCAAAAATTATTATTATTATTATTATTTGTGGTATTTTACTATTAACTAAGCCTTAAGCCATTATTATAAAAAAATGCCTTATAAATGTTGAAATATATTAAAAAAAATTAATCGAAATATTTGAAAAACAAATTTTGTTATTCCAACCGCTGGCCGCGGGCCCCTTGAGCTCGCGGGCCTGGTTCCACCGAACCCACGGAACCATTGTAGCTACGGCGCTGAATTTAAATCATTTACAAATATCAAAAATAAAAGTGGCCCCAATATCGATCCTTGAGGTACTCCCAATGATACTTTGGATATACCTGATTTTTCACCATTAATAGATACCACTTGGGTTCTATCCAATAGATATGATTCTATCCATTTATTTGTAACTTCTCTAACTCCTATACTTTCAAGTTTATTTAATAATAATTTGTGATTTATAGTATCAAATGCTCGACTAAGGTCATAAAACAGTCCAACAACATGCTGTTTTTTATTTAAACTTTTAAAAATAAAATTCAAAGCACTCGATTGCTGTGTTAGTGGGTTATAAAATAACCTTAAATTAACCTTCAAATTGACATTTGACAGCCCTGATAGAATAAGGTTTATTTTTTACAAAAGATGAGTAAAATGATTGTTCTTACCTCTTTGAGGTCTCTTTTAAGGCTTGCAAGTCTCTGTAAGAAACACAACGTTTAAAACGATTATTAATCTGTACAAACCTAAAGCACAAGAATTGTAAACAACAAAAATGGCCGCCATGGTATGATGTAAGTCACTTATATTTCACTTACTATTTCATAGAGCAAAGCACCTACAATTGTGTTAGGTTTGTGTTGAGAAAAAAAATGTCAACGCAAGTAGTCCCCATTTTATAAAAAATAACCCAACAATTTAAGTCTATGACCGAAAACTCAACTGTACATATATGTCTATAGACTCTATTTACAGTTGAGTTTTCAGTTGTGAACACAAAGCTAGCGTGAAATTACTGTTGATTGTGAAGCATGTTTTGGTTCAAACCAACGAAAATAAATTTAGCTTTGCCCTTTGAGCGGCCAATTGAAACACCTTGTATTATAGTATGTATATTTGGTGGATCAGAACTTCCCTAGTCGGCCATGCATGTGTAATCTTTAATTTAGGTTCGATTTTCTATATACATTTCTTTTAAGATTTAATGAAGCACTAAATTATTACTTATAAAACAAATAATAAAACCAATTCTAGGATTATCTGGTGCTGGAAAAACATCGATCTCTTTTGCTTTGGAAGAGTTTCTAGTATCAAATGGCATTCCATCTTACGGCCTGGACGGAGACAACTTAAGAACTGGCCTGAACAAAAACTTAGGTTTCACCAAAGAAGACAGAGAAGAAAACATTAGAAGAGTGGCAGAAGTTGCAAAATTATTCGCTGACGCTGGACACGTGTGTTTGTGCAGTTTTGTATCGCCATTTGTGGAGGTAAATTTTGTTTAATCAAATTAATTAAATTATTATTTTGACAAATATTTTCTAAAATCGAAGATATACATTATTTTACAAAATATGATTATTATATTTTATAAAATAGTTGAAATATTCTTACAAAAATGCATTTTGAACTATTTTATAAAATAATTTTACAAAATTTTAACTTTTGGACTTTTGGACTCACCGATTCCATTAAATACGGTGCTACAAAAAATTAACTTTTCAAATAAGTATACAGTAGGTCTGGTTATAATTATAATTACAACCAACACTTGAAAAGTTGAGAATCAATGTAGCAAAGTGAAGTTATGCAAATATATATGAATAATTATTTCAGGATAGAGAAATGGCCAGACAAATTCACAAATCCTCTAATTTGCCCTTCTTTGAAGTTTTTGTTGATACATCTTTAGAGGTGTGTGAAAAAAGAGATGTCAAAGGTTTATATCAAAAAGCTAGACAGGGTATAATCAAAGGTTTTACTGGAATAGACCAAAAATATGAAAAACCTGAACACCCTGAACTTGTTATTAAAACAGCCAACGCTTCAATCAACGAATCAATGAAGCTGGTTATAGAGATGTTAAAAGAAAACGTAATAAAATTATACACCTTTATTGTGAATGTATTAATGATCAATTATAATTTAGGAAATTATTCCAAAATGCACTGGAAACCAAAACGGACACCTTATAATTTCTGATAGTTCACCCGTAAAAGAGTTATTTGTCCATGAAAGCAAAGAGTTACTCGAAGAAGCTCAAAATCTACCAAAAATTACAATGACCGAAATCGACCTACAATGGCTTCAGGTTCTTAGTGAGGGGTGGGCTTCCCCGTTGAAAGGATTTATGAGGGAAGATGAATTTTTACAAGTATGTAGTTTACTTAAAGAAAATATAACACGTTTATTATGTATTCTTTTTAGACAATCCATTTTAACACCTTAGTCAAAAACGGAAATACATTTAATCAAAGTGTTGCAATTGTGTTGCCAATAACTTCTGAAGATAAGCGAAGAATTGATGGATATAAATCTGTTGCCTTGTATCATAACCAAGAATGCTATGCTGTCTTAAACAACATTGAGGTTTACCATCATCGTAAAGAAGAAAGAATTGCTAGACAGTTTGGAACCACCCATAAAGATCACCCATATATCAAAGTAATGAACAAATCATTTACACTGTTATTGATGTTTAATATTGCCTTTGACATTGTATTAGGTTATTAACGAATCTGGCGACTGGTTGGTCGGTGGAGATTTGGAGGTCTTAAAACGTGTCACTTGGAATGACGGCCTAGATCAATATCGTTTAACTCCTGCTCAGCTTCGCCAAAAATGCGAACACCTGGGCGCAGATGTTGTTTTCGCTTTTCAACTAAGGAACCCAATTCACAATGGTCATGCGCTTTTGATGACCGATACCAAAAAACAGCTAATGGAAAGGGGATTTAAGAAACCAGTTCTTCTATTGAATCCACTTGGTGGTTGGACCAAGGACGATGACGTTCCATTGAAAGTGAGAATGTTACAGCATCAAGCCGTCTTAGAATCCGGAGTTCTAGATAAAGAGAGCACCGTGCTTTCAATATTTCCTAGTCCAATGATGTACGCAGGTCCAACAGAGGTAAATATCGTTTTAATTTAAACACAATTATTAGTTTAGATTATAGCAAAAGAAAATATAACGGGCTTACTAATAGGGATGTCAGAAGTTTAACAACTCACGGCGGCCTTGTTTTCGACATTTACTGTTAATTGTGTTTGGTAGGTTTCACCATGTATCATTCTATATAGAATGTTTGATCTGTGTTTAGTTGAAGAGATAGCCTATAACGCATATCGCACATGGCGACAACAGAGTCATAAGTAAAACCTTAGTTCCGAAATAATGATCGTCGAAGAATTTTGAATAAAATTCTCACGTATTTGTAATATATTAACTTACAGTATTTTCTTTGCAAAGGAAGAACCACACTAAGATTCTGAGCCAGTTAAAAGTTAGATTTTAGAAAATATACTCTTTTTGAATAAGAGCTATTTGTAGATATGTCTGTGTTGCTGAAAATATGTGCATGAATTTTGCAGATATGTCTGTACTGCTAAAAATGTGTTGATCATTTTTTTAATTATTCATTCTTTTAATGTTGATTATGAATATGACGAACGTATGACTGGCCCCATCGACAACGCCTTACACTGATTTCCAGGGTTATTTTACCCCCTTTTAGTTTTCTTACGTATCCCGCTCTGCACAGCATTGCCTGTGTTTGGTGTATCCATTTTTCACTTTGGCTGGTAAATCTCGCCTAGGAGGTCGTGGATGACAGTGTCGATGGTTAAGGCTACTCTCGGAATTTTGTCGCCGGGCCGGGCCATACGCCCGATTTAGGCTAGTGGAGTACGGACAAGGATGGAAACATTTTGGTTTTTAGGGACATTAAACTGACCCAAAACTAAGTACAATCCGGAGTCCCCCTCAACCAGGGATTTAGTAATTACTCCATTCAATTGGCGTTTAAAAATGGGGCTTGGTTGATTAGTACGTTGCGAGGACCTATCCTTGGTGGTCTTGAAGTACTTCCTGTTCGTGTGTGTCTGTGTCTCTGTCCGAGTCTGATTCCGAGCTTGCTGACTATTGATAACGTTGCACCCCACTGTGCGGTTTATTATTTCGCATAGAAGTTAATTTATGGTTCCCTTAAATGTGCTACAGATACCTAGTTATTTCTTACGCGGTGCTTAACGATAAAGATAAATAAATATGAGTCACACAATAATAGCGCTGTTCCATTTAAAAATAAATTGAAGATACCATCAGGCCTAACACCTTTATGGCAATTCAATTCATGTAACGTATTATACAGATTTTCAAATATTCAATATACCAAATCTTTATTTGTAATTGAACCATCAACAGCAAAATCTGCTTTATTTGAATTGGCAAAAACAGATTCAAAATAAGATGCAAACAGATAAGCCATTGATAAACCATCGTCACAAGCTGTCTCCTCTAAATAATGAATTATACATCAAACTGATTACTGGGGTTAACAATGTCGGATTTCTTCCAGTGTATTTTCTTTATTTTTTGTATTATATTTCCTAATTAAACTTATTCGATGCGCTACTGGTTTTGAAGTTAGTGGTTTTAAGGTTAGTTCAGCGACGCCATTTTTTGGTTCACATTTAGCATATTTACAGCGGTCTGATTATGCGTCCCCCCTCTTTCCTTGTCAAGGTTTAAACCTATTATCAAAATTAGAGTTTTGCTGGATGTACTACTCAAAACACTTACAAAGTTTGCTAAGGAAATAATTGTTCTGTAAATTGGAAACAATGATGGGATTACTTGTTTGGGGATTACACAAAATCACAATTTTTAAATCCCCAAATCCAACATTCGACAATTGGTAAGGACTATAAACCTTGTATAAAGAGCCGCAGTGGTCAATTAAGTTATATTTTGCAGTGCTTTAATTCGTTTCATACAGTCTTAAAGTTCGGACGTGCTACAATTGTCTTAAAAAATTAATAACACTGTGATACAAAATTAAGGTTTGCGAAAGGGAATGGAATAAAACCAAAAGCAAATGAAAGTTAATACTTTCCACAAGAAAACCCTATCAGGGTTTTTTTATATCACGTCTTAGATTTTTTTTGTACGCATTTAAAGATGGTAAATTTTTTGACACCCTATAGGAAAAACATAAGTAAAACTATGTTAATTATTCAAAATAATTTTGTCAATTTGATCAAGAAATCTATTTGTGATGTTAATTTTTACCAAAGACCCTCAGAAGAAGACGCTTTTAAAAAATTGTTACTAATTTTTACTATTTTTGAAGGTAAGAAATCCATTTTTGTCATCCGTTTGTTGTAAAATATACCCTATAGGTGATATTCGAAAGCAATTTTTAATATTTTGGATTTATTAGTATAGAAAACTTGTTTTTTTAAGAAAAAATAGCATTTTTACTTCTTAACTAAACATTATTAAATTCTCTATTTTATTTTTATTTAAAAACTATCCGGCAGTAACACGAGTTTAAGTACCAGCTGTTCATCCAAAAATTGATAAAAATGCAAAATATAATTAATATAATCAAAAATACCATGTTTTAGTATCAAAATAAAAAAAATACCTGAATTATACCACAACATTGGAACACCAAATTTCATTGACTTCTTTTTCTTTTGTGATCATTTAATTAAATTGTTATTACAAGTTCTGCAAACTTTTCAACATATTCAATTATATGTATACCGTAATATTGTAGGTACAATTTTTTACATTTTTATATTTTGGAACTAAGTTTTGTTTTATATTATATTGTCCTTTAAATAAAAAAAATAATTTAATTAAATATATTAATTAAGAAAAACGTTTTATGTTGCTATCACTGATTTACTATATAGTACATAATATTATGTGTTTTTAAGTAAACAAATTAATTTTACCTTTAAACAACCTCGTTTTTGCTACAAAAACTGCAATTTTTTGTATACAATAGTAATAATATTTTTTCAAAAGGACGAATACGCCGAAATACTTTTTTTTTTATTTTTATCAAAACAGGAAAATGGCATATTCGCCCTTTTACAAAAATACCATCGATATATTACAATATATTACCACAAAAAAATGTAGTTTTTGTATACAAGTATTGTGTTTTGATTAAAGCATTAAAGAGAATATTTTTTTATAAAAATGCCCAATTTTCTAGTAAAAATGCTCTTTACTTGGAATGGATTCCTCGACTATATTGCCAGAATAATTTAAAAAAAATTAAAATTGTTTTACTTATTTTTTTCCTATTATAGGGTGTCCAAAAATCTACCAACTTTAAATGCGTTTAATAAAAAACTGAGACGTGATCTAAAAAAAACCTCATAGGGTTTTTTTGTAGAAGCTATTACCTTTCATTTGCTTTTGGTTTCATCCCATTCCCTTTTGCACTGTTGCACTGTGTAATTAAGGGTAATAACTATCGTGTTTATCATGGATACAATTTTAGTTATAAATAAAACTTAAAACGAAATTTAAAAAAAATTGTCAACAAAACCAAATAAAACATTTTACTAAATAAAATTATTTAGGTGCAATGGCATGCCAAAGCAAGAATGGTGGCCGGTGCAAATTGTTACATTGTTGGACGCGATCCTGCTGGAGTACCGCATCCAGAAGGCAAAGAAGCAAGCCCCGATGGCAACTTGTTTGAGTCCACGCATGGCAGCAGGGTGTTGAAAATGGCTCCGGGTCTGGAAACATTGGAGATTATTCCATTTAGAGTTGCTGCTTATGATATTGTTAATAGAAAGATGACGTTCTTTCAACCTGAGAGAAAAGAGCAGTTTGACTTTATTTCCGGAACAAAAATGAGAAGTATGATTTTTTTTATACTATGTAGTTAGTTATTAATTAAATAAAATTAATTAACTTTTAGAATTTGCAAGAACTGGCGAGGAGCCCCCAGAAGGTTTTATGGTTACTAAGGCATGGCAAATTATTTCTGATTACTATCAATCTATTATTAACAACAACTAGGGTGTTTTAAAAACATTTTTAAAAAGATAGTAAAGTATTACTGTATTCATGTCTACAAATGAGAAATCAACCCTGCAAAAGCCTCCACTCTTATGAATTCCTGGATAGTCGACAAAAACCTTGTGGATTTATTGTGTCCTCATATTTAAACCAAAATTAAAAATTTAAATCTTGTTTTACTAAACTAATTTTAGTAATTTCTATTTAGCGATTTTACTAAATTCGAATTTTACTGTTACCTATATCATTGTTAATTGTAAATAAAATTATATATTTGTTATAAATAAAATGTTAAACTTACCTTTGGATTCAGATGTTATGTATTTTCCTAAAATTTGCCATAGAGTCTTTAATAGTCATGAGAAGGTAACTTCAATAAGCTTCATTTATCTTCCAGGTCATTACTAAAATATTTTATGGATAAAAAGTATTACAGAAACTGAAAACAGGATTTAGGTTAATAAATAATAGTTTATTACATAATTTACAATAAAATGTACAGGCTAAAATTACAAAAGCAAATTCTCACTACTGGTACTTAAATTAGGCAATGATTTAAAAACACAGCTTTTATTTTTAACTATATCAGTCTTTGAAGTATTTTGAAGAGAATATTTCTTAATAGTGTTAGAAGGGCACTCAATATCTAAAGCTAGGATATTAGATTCTTTAAAATCTACATTTAAATTTTCAACAGAGTAATGTTGAGGAGTATCACACAGGTCTTCGACATGAACGTCGGCTTTTTGGATTGAGGAGCTACTGCGGTCCAGATGTTTTTTTCTTTTTACCTCAGACTCGTTTTCGAAAACGTAGCAAAGCTGTAAGTCATTGCGCGAGGTCGTAATTGAGGACGGCATGCCGCATTCCACTATTGAAACCACGTGGGGCGCCATCTGCTGCCTTGGGTCGGAACAACTGTAAGCGAAATTTGGAGACGGAGCTGACTGTTTTTCTGGAGCATTCTGTACCAGTATTATTCTGAAAAAAAATCGGCTTCAAAACTAAACATTGTTAATGTTACTTTAGGACATAGATAAATACACTGTGGTTTATTAGTTCTGAACTACACGAAAGTGTGTTTAAAAAATACCCATTCTTTTCATTTATTAAAAATGCGTGATATTTTTAGAAGGGTTAATGTCAAAACCGATTCGCCATGGCGTTCTTAATTTACTTATTTTAAATAATAAGTTATTTGCATAAAGCGGCTGTTAATGTTAAAGAAGAAAAAAAGGATTTTCTTTGGTGTTAAACAAAATTTATTGCCAGAAGTCTCCTAAGTACTAGAAGAATCATAAAAATATTATAACCAATTTGCAAAATATTATTTTACTAGTATGCTGTTTAAAGTACCTAGCTACCTATAAAATCAAAATTTTGGGTGGGATATAGTACCTCATTACAGCACCGAAAGCGGTGAAAACTTGTGTAAAATGTACTATTTTTTGGATTTAGGCTTCAAAATATTAAAATGTTGTTTATGGAATACATTTTTATAAAAACCCTTATATTTAGCATAATTTTACGTTGAATTAAGCCTTAATGTGAAATTTGTGTACTCACCCAAAATCCCACACTTGACAATATTGTTCTCAATGAGTCTCAACGATATGGTTAAGTATTTAGAGATATACTATTTAACATGGTTTCGTGTTGTACTCAACCAGACCAATAATCTACACTGGGTCATTTAAAAAGTTAATTTACCTATTGTGCGCTTTCCATCTGGAAAATAAATGTAAGTACTGTCGGCACTGTATAAACATAAAAACGGCTCCGCCGGTAAATCCCACAGCCACAACCACAAGTTTTGTCCAAAAAGGCCATGCTAAAAATAGCAAAGATTAATAAAATAGGTACTAAACTAGATTATTCTAATTAATGTAAAATTATGATATTATTATTATATTATTGCATCTTTTCCATTTTCACATAAGTCTATGCATTTTTTTTACCTCAATAACAAATGAATATAAAGCCAAGTCCAATGGACATTTTTATAGAAAATAAAATGCTTTAAAAAAGGTATTTATATATTTTTTTAAACCTAGCCACTTAAAAGATATCTTGGGTCAAAGTAAAAAAAATATTAAACAAAAATAAACTGATGTGCACCACTTTTGAAAGATCTCTAAACTTTTAATAAAAAGTCTATAAAGTTCTCCTTTAAATATTTTGTAGCCTAAAGTTTGCTTAACAAGTTTGCCAAAGGACGTCAAGATGGGTGTAGTAGTTTCAAAAATACGCCTTACGAACAAAGATTTTTTATTACAAAGGGTATATTAATAGGAGCGCCGGATTTAAATTTCGCCATCTTCCTATTTTTTGCAAAGTTCGTTTGGGGGCATAAAAATACCTATGCGTCGTCGTACTAGCCGATCTAGAGTTACCGAAAATCCCGTCATCGTTTCCAACAAGTTGTTATTTCGAGGAGCAGTTTACAACAAATTTTAACAAAAGATCTTCATTTGCATTAATACAAAATTCAATTAACACAGGAGCTAATCCCAGTAGTTCATTCAATGCGCCGGGAATTTGTTAATTGGATTCTGGCAAGGCAACAAGATGTTAAATTTGCAAAGACAATTTTGTTTAGCGTTGAAGCGCACTTTAATCTCAGTGGCAATGTCAACAAACAAAATTAAAGAATTTTGGTCAACAACCAGGAACAATTTATAAACTTAAAGACGAAATTCAGCAGCACAAATGCAAGGATTTTATAAAAAAAAAATCATTAAAAGAGGGAGGAGGGTGTGCCAGCAAAGAAGTGGTGGGCATTTGTCGGATATTTTGTTTCATGGATAATAAGTTATTTAATTAACATATCAAATCCGGCGTTCCTATTGAGACACCCTTTAGGTACAGAGGTTACTTTTATGCTCCAAAAACCGTTAAAAATGTACCTATTAGAAAGGTCTACCAATATTTTCTATGTGGACAAGGATCATTTATAGTTTTTTACAACCACGAGTTTTTTTTTCAAATACCAAATTCCCGAGAAAATTCCGTAACTAAAACATACATTCCAAATGGAATTCAGATATAATAGTGTTATTGCATTATATTTATTAACAGAAGACTTGATGCCAGAGGTGGCCATATTGAACAATAACATGTTTCTATGAAATTTAATGAATTTTAACAGTGTCCTAAAATTTCAAATATTCGTGATTAACGAAACTACCGCATTTTTAATTGGTAACACAATGACGGACCCTGTATACATTTCAATAAGCTTATATAGCTTGCCTATAGGCATTAATATATAAATGTTTTGAATTACATAATCCATCTCCCTACACTTAACCCTTCTTCTATTTATCATAATGGAACTTTCTTTCCTTCATCTTTTCTTATTTATTACAATATTAATATAATAATATTATATAATATTAATATACTATTAATTATTAAAACTATATTTAATCTTTGTTTATATATAAACTAAAAACCTGGGAAACACTGTTTTTAAACTATAGTTTAAAAACAGTGTTTCCCAGGTTTTTAGTCCTTTACAATACCTTTGGGAATAGTATTAAAGATATTTTCAAATACGTAAAACAATTTTTTTTCATTATGGAAAAGACTATTATAGTCTACTTTCATAACTTATAGCAAAATTTTACATAGGAATTGACTTTTAAATTTTGAGAATATTTTTTTTTATTTGTTTACTAGTGTAATAATTATAATTATTAAAAGACTGGAAAGTTACATATTTAGTTTGTGTTTTGTTTTTAATTATTAATTGGTAATAAATATCATTGTTTGGTGCATAAACAATGATAATTTACATACAATTTTAAAATGTTGTTCATAAAAAATAAATTGAATTTTACTTAACAATTCAATAACTTGACCAATAAAATTAAATTGTACCTCCATGCATAACAACTTATAAGATTAGTAAACAGTATATTGTTAAAGTATTATTTTAGTACAATTTTAATATGTTATTACAGACTGTAATTTACAGTAAAAGTACTTATCAAACTTTTTTGTTTTTTTATTTAATATAATATATACTCATAATTATGATTAAAACATATCTACCTACATACATACATTGTTTATTTTGGTACAATTTTTAAAATGTTACTTACCAATTAAGCCTTTTTGTACTTCTTCTGCAGCTCTATCAATTAAAACAAATAAGGACCACACCACACAAACTGCAGCAACAAAATGAAACAAAATAGCACACAGAAGTCGCCTTCTTTCCAAACTACTCATTTCCAATATTCTCCACTAAATAAACCATAAAGTTAGAAATAATAGGTGTAGAATTAATAAATAATTACCTCTGAGAGTGGTTTAATTTTTGTATGTAGAATAAAGTTAAATTTACATAATTCACATGATCGAGTGTCAGAGGCTGCCAGCCATTGTCGAAGACAAGACTGGTGCACATATTTAAGACTTCCTGAGCAATAGCAGGGTGACAACAAGGGGTTGTCCAAATCAGCCTCACAGTGGCATATGCGGCAAATATCCCCATTGGAATTTGACAGTGTCGATGATGAATCACACTTTTTCCATTCAACCTTCTTTGAAGTTTCCGAGTACGCGTTATTAGACATTACTTCATTCTGTTTGACTTGGATAAAAACAGGCATCGCATGTAAAACTAGAACATCCAATGTCAAATATTTATGTAACAACAATGGATTTAATTATTTCGCCTTTCAAGTTTATCTGTACTTACCTTAAATGTTTTTTAGGTGTTTTAGGATGCATTATAATGGTATTTTACATATTTTTAAAATTTGTAAGCATATTTTTGGTTAAAAGTTGCAATAATTGATAAGAATGTTTTGACGTCTGTCACTTAGCCAAAATAAATGTCAGCTGTCAAAAAATAAATAAAATAAAATCTTTTTCATTAAAGTTGGCCTTGAAAAGATAAAAACATAAATATAAATATAAATATAACAGTTCCCTAAAGGAAAACAATACGTTAATGGTTTTTATTATTTTAAAATAAAAATAAATAAAATTTGGCGCAAAGAATTATCTGACAACCTTGCAATGAGCATAAGTTGACAGCGCACTCTGCCACACAAAGAACACAGAAGTTTTTCTATGGTTAATGTTCTTTGATTTTAACTTAAATTTTTTAAGCTAAAACAACGTTTTTTATTCGTTAAAACGAGTCTTCTTATTTTTAAGTTAAATTTTTACCAAAGACATGTCTCATAAAGTCGATTGGGCAAAATATGTTGCAGATACAGAAAAGAATCTATCTGCTAAGGTAAAAACATGTTTATACACTGTAAAACTAACCTATACCTTTATTTGAATTATTAGATTGAAGAAGTTACAATTTCAAATGGTGAAAATTTAAATCATGGAGGAGCAAGTAATGATGAGGAGGCTCCAGATAAATTTAGCCCTGCAGAAGCCAGTCTACTGGCAAAGGTTATTCGTAAAGGTTTAGTTGTTAACAAAAATGATATAGAAATTCAGCGAAAAGATCCCAAATCGCCATTGTACTCGGTAAAGTCTTTTGAAGCATTAAATTTGTAAGTATTTTTTTGATTTTAATATACTATAATAACTAGGGATGGGATTTTAGTTATTTTACCTTTTTTTAACCAATGTAACTATTTGAAAACCAATAATGCCAAAATGTCTTTTAAAAGATTTTCTTTTATATGAACCTAACTTGTTTTTACCTTTTTTACCTTTTTTGGAGGTTTTTGCTTTAAACTACCTTTTTTATACTTTTGTTACCTATTTATTTAACTTGTTTTCACCTTTTTTTTTACCTTTTTTGGAGGTTTTTGCTTTAAACTTAACTTTTTAATTTGTCAGTTTATTTTCACCCATTTTTTACCTATTTTTACGTATTTTATACTTATTTTATTTTTTTGTGTTTTTTTTTTTAAATTTTGCTCCAATATTTTATCCAGGCGTGCAACTTATCGGTATAGAATTTTTTCTTATGGTCACAGACTGTAACAGTAACTTTCTTTACAGTTACCTTCTTTGTAGTGAGCTTATGTTCTGTTATACCTAGAACTTCTGTGTAGTGAGTGTCACTCAGTGAAACATAGTTTATTGCATAGAAATATTTTATTGTGGGTATGTTTGTAGGTCTGTGGTATGTTCTGTATTTGGTTATGCTGCTAAACAAAATTATAATAAAACTTGAACTATTAATGTTTTTTTTACCTAAAATTATGTTTTTTTAAACTAAAATGCTTTTTTTTAGTACATTTTTAGTTACCTATTTTTCAGTTTTTAGTACCTAAATATCCCATCTCTAATAATAACCAAAATATAATAATAATTTCACATATTCTTTACTTAGTACATACTATAAAGTTGACATTAACTAATTGTTTTCAAAATCTCATGTAAAAATATAATTGAACCTTGGACAATATATGGTCTAAGATATAAAAGTTTTGAAAGTACATTTTCAACTTTCTAAAATTGGCGCCAATTTGGAAAGTTTGCTCAGCAAACATAACCTAAAAGTTATAAGCTATGAGCATTGAATGACCTTAATCAATGCTATAAGTTTAAATTTTAATATGTTTAAATCTGTTAATGTGATTGCTTTAGAAAAGTAGTAGTTGTACAGGTTTTACAATATTTCTAATTTTAAATAATAAAAAAATGGTTTATTTTTTAAAATAACAAAATCTTGCCTTTGGCAATATTTAAAAATTAATTTTTAATAACATTATTACCTGGTGGACTTCGAATGCATTGCGTGAATTTAAAAATTTTCAACAATATATTTAAAGCACAGATTATACATCATTTTTAAATAAATAGGTAATTTTTTACAAAAGAGAGGAAGGCAAATTTTGTTCAATTGCACAGCTAAATCGCGCACGTTATTTGTGTTTTACTTTGCAAGGAAAAAATTAAAAAACTTTTAGTCCTCGATTTCGATTGATTATTCCTTATATCTTTAAGAAACTCAACGCTTAAATGCTTATATAGTTACGTTAGTGTGTGTATTTTATCAAAGGGATCATGGTGAATTATTGTGTTTTTAATTATAAATAAAATTCAAGAACTAAATCGTTGCATTTTCATGTTTTGCCAAAGGAGTGCAGAATTAACTAATGATAACTTTACCTAATATAATTTATATTTAAGTTTGGACATTTAGTAAAAAATAATTTTTGCTCAAACATAACATAACCAACCATTTTTATATTTGAGTTCTCTAAAAAACGCCGACAACTGCATTTTAAACAACAAAATATACCTACGAATTCATGGCAACATAATATTATATACATATAAGACATAATATAATGGTATTTTACCGTTGAGTGGAGACTTTCTTAATCAACGCTTTTAATAATGCTAAATGCTGTTTAAATTTAGACGACTTATTTGTTTGACAATTTTTACTGAATTGAAATGTTTACACTTTTTACGTTAATTACTACTAAAATGTGTATTTGTTGGATCTAATAGGCACAATTTATATTTACAGAGACTGTATGCAATTTATTTCTTCATTCAGATTAACACTGTTTATTGGAAAACCGGTAAAAGCAACCAAGGATTTCCTCTCAAAATATACAAGTTTTACTTTTGTTACGATGATAACAGCCGAGTGGTGGCGCTACTAGCGATACTTCTTTAGCGTATACTTTAAAGTATATTTAATCTTTCACACTACTGAAAACCGTACAAAAAACATCCTTAGGTACCTACTATTTCTAGAACCAATTCAAACATCGTGAAAACATTCCAAGAACCATCGTCACCACAACGTGCCTAACTTTTCTCCGCTATAACTCGAAAATCGTTGACGAAATGTTATTAATAATATACATTTATGTTTTTATAGATATTTTCGAGATAACAGTTTTACATTTAGAAAAACAAAGAAATAAATAATTTGTTGTAACTTTGTTAGGAACTAAATACAGTTTTTTCGATGTCAAATTGCAGATTATCCATATTCAATGTAAACATATCCACATAACCTTTAAAATAACCTATTTTAAGTAGATTTATTAATACTCAAACTTAAAATTAAAATTAATAAATTCACTCTTCATGTGAAAAATATTATTTTTATTAAATCATATTAATAACTTTGGAGGTTGAACTGTGATACATCTTAAATATTTTTAGAAACCCAAATCTTTTAAAAGGAGTATATGAGCTTGGTTTTAATGCACCGTCAAAAATTCAAGAAACAGCACTTCCCACACTTTTAGCAGATCCACCTCAAAATTTAATTGCCCAGTCACAATCTGGAACAGGAAAAACGGCAGCTTTTGTTTTGGCTATGCTTAGCAGAGTAGATGCAACTAAGAAACATCCCCAGGTTAGTAAAACTATTACTTATGATATTGGGTTGTCTTTGACTTCCAGCCAGTCTATGATGTCCATAGATAATAAAACAATAGCCAAAGTTTAAAGATAAAGGCTGTTTGACTGACAATTTTTTTAAAATCAGTTTAGAGACACAAGCTGCACATCTAATGCGCATGCGAACCCAGACCGCAAAGTAGCATTCCTATGTTATTCCAGGAATATTCTTGGGAATATTCGAAAACTTCTAGAATATTCTAAAAAATATTTCCGGAATATTAAAATGTCCGCTCCGTGGATGTTCTTGGGCATGTTTACATAAATATTCCTTAATTTAGAAATATTCCTAGATCAATTTGATGAATCTTTCACGGCATCTCATGGCAATATTCCACTTTAGTTTACCTTAAATGCGGCAGAAATAGAATCAACTTTTATGCCAATTATGCCAATCAGAGGGCATCTTTTCCATCGGCAGCCGCGCTGCCGAGATAGTGTCGACGCGCATATAACAAAATTTTACAAGAAAATATTGCAAGAATTGAAAAGATTTCTTCTTACACCAAGTTCGTTAAAACAAGTTTTATGAAAAAATAATAAATGAACTATTTTGTGACTATGGCTCGTGATCGTCTTACCAAAATTTGGACCTCTACGTTGTGTTTACCTACTTGTTTTATTAAATACATTGCTTTAAGAATCATACTTTGGAGAATTAGGTATACAAAAAAATAAAATACAGTGTTTAGTTTACCCCAACTTAATTTACTTTAAAAACAAGGGATGGCTCTTAGGGAGATACGACCAGGGAAAAAGAGCTTGAGAAAAATCCCTGTTCGGGAGCCGAGAGCAAGAACCTCAGACCGGTAAATGGCAATGCAGCGCGGCACGACACTAAAATGTACAAAAATTAAACATGCAGATATATGCAGCTAATTTTTTACATGCACTTAAAATATACAACTAAAACCTATTTCAAATGTTTTAGAGAGGGCTAATGGGTGATAATTTTTTGTAGTTCGATACTTAACAAATTGATACCTCTCGAAAGTTACACAAGAAATTAAGATATACTTAATTTTAGTTTCAAAAACACGAGAGCAAAATATTTAAGGGTTTGTTTTGTAATTTTTAGAACAGCGGTATCTAGCCCCGATATTGATAATAGAAAATATGTCATAACCGCTGCAGAGTCTCTCCACCAAAGATTTTTAATCAAATTAAACGATATCGAAAATTATTGTAATCAATTAACATCACTAAAGAAATTAAAAAAGACGATATAATTCAGTGCGAAAAGTGATCCGCGAACATAGTTAATATTAATTTTTTAGGTGTTATGTCTATCGCCAACATATGAGTTGGCCATTCAAACTGGTGAAGTAGCTGCACATATGGCAAAATTTTGTCCCGAAATTGAAATGAAATTTGCTGTTAGAGGAGAAGAAGGTATGCCAACTAAAGCAATATTAATCATGTGTAAAATATATTTTAATTTTAGTGGGAAGAGGTGCAAAGTTATCTGAACACATAATTATTGGCACACCTGGCAAAGTTTTAGACTGGAGCTTAAAGTATAGAGTTTTTGATTTAAAACAAATTTCAGTTTTTGTCCTGGACGAAGCTGATGTTATGATTGCTCAACAAGGACATCAGGATCAGTGTATTAAAATTCACAAGTAAGTTCTTAAAATTAAATATTTTTTTTTACTCTAATTTACTCAATAACAAACTTTTAGGAATCTTGCTGAACCATGCCAAATGATGTTTTTCTCAGCCACATACGATCAAGAAGTAATGGAATTTGCAGAACACATCGTTAAAAATCCTATTACTATAAGACTAAAACGTGAAGAAGAAAGTTTAGATAATATTGAACAATATTATGTTAAATGTGGTAACCAACAGGAGAAATACAATGCTGTTTTGAATATATATGGTACAGTTGGTGTTGGACAGGCCATTATATTTTGCCATGTATGTATAATCAAGATATATACAAATAAATTTGAAGGGTTTTTCATTGTGGGTTTTATATCTCACATAATATTTGTTTTCTTAGATTTTTGGACCCTTAATGATAAACCTCTTATCGAACATTTATTGAACATTTTCCAAAAAATGATACTTGATTTTATATAAAAATATATTTTATTTAGACTAGACGTACTGCAGCATGGTTATCAGAAAAAATGTCAAAGGAAGGCAATGCAGTCGCTGTTTTAAGCGGTGATTTAACTGTAGAACAACGTATTAATGTTTTGGACCGTTTCAGACAGGGTACTGAAAAAGTACTTATAACTACAAACGTTTTGTCTCGCGGTAAGCCCCACTAATATCTTCGATACTATTTTTTCTTTTAATTTTAACATTTTAGGTATTGATGTTGAACAAGTTACAATTGTTGTAAACTTCGATTTGCCAATTGACGTTCATGGAAAAGCAGATTGTGATACTTATCTGCACAGAATTGGTAGAACGGGCCGATTTGGCAAGAGGGGTATTGCCATAAATTTAATTGATTCTCCGGAATCGATGAATATTTGTCAGTCCATTGAAAGGCATTTCAATAGGAAAATTAAATATTTAAACGCCGAAGATTCTGATGAAATCGAAAAGATTGGTCAGTAAATTATTAGTTATTTTTTGTTATTGAATCTACGCTTTCATATTTATGTACTAAGATTAGGTACGTTATTTTATGTTTGAACATTTGTAAGATGATACTAAATCGTTTATTTTATAAATAAAGTTGTTTTATCCAACTGTGTCCTTATTTCTTAAGCCACCCACGATGATTTTATTTGCCTAGTAATATCTCCATCTCAAGAGTGTGTGTTTGTGTGCATGTGTGTGTCCAACACTTCTTTAAAAAAGCTTAATGGTTAACTTAAAGTGATGCGCGAGTGACCCATACGCCAGTGTGCAACACAAAAAACAGTATTAATTTAAACTTAAACCTTATATTATAACACTGGACGCCTAATCATCTCGTTTGTTTGACTCCAAGATGTATCGTACAGTGGCGGTGCAGTTTCAAGGGAAATCTAAGAAAATTTGTTAACTGAATACTTGAGTATTATAATTGTTATAGATTAATACAATTTCAATGTATGCTTACAGGATTTGTCGAAACGCTTTTCCCGCCAAATCAAATGGACCAATGAAACCGCTTTTATATGATCTCATTTCAAGGAGTATGGACTTTTAAAAAAAAACATTTAATCGAGCCACATTGCACAAATGGCAATTGCTCTAAATAAACAAAGTTTTCCTTAGACAATAAAAGTTAAAATTACACAAAGAATACTCAGTTTGGTATCACTGAAAGGGTTTTACTTATTTAGTTATGCTGAGCTAAGTTTAGTAAATTTCTTTAAATTTTAATCAAAAACGCGTTAACAAAACATTTCAGGTTTTTTTGTTACTTTTAGAGCACTTAATAAGCGTTTAATCAAAGCGGTATCTAGCCCCGATATTGATAATAGAAAATGTGTTATAACCGCTGCAGCGTTCCTACAACCAAAGATTTTTTAATCAAATTCAACTGGTGAAGTAGCTGCACATATCGACATTAAATTGAAATTTGCTATTAGAGGGAAAGACGGTATGCAACAAAAAAACAATATTAATAATGTGTTAAACATATTTTCATTTTAGTGGGAAGAGGTGTTAAGTTAACAAAACACATATTAATCGGCACACCTGCAGGTGTGCCATGGCAAGGTGTTGGACTGGGGGTATAGTAAAGTATAGAGTTTTTGATTTGAAGCAAATTTCAGTTTTATCCTGGACGAAGCTGATGTTATGATTGCACAACAAGGACATCAGGAACAGTGCATGAAAATTTACAAGTAAGTCAAATAAAATAATGTTTGTTTGACTCTAATTTAAGGTGGATTTAGCCGGCATTTAATGTTTTATCTCGTTTTGCGCATACTAAAAATCACTGAAACACCACAGAATCTAACGGCGGCCATTTTTATGTTGTTTCCAATTCTTGTGCTTTGGGTTTGTGCTGTTTATACAGATTAATAATTATTAATCGTTTTAAACGTTGTTCTTAGGCACTGGGGCTCTTGAGCTTCAGGTATTATTTATTTTTTAGGTAGGGACAGGAAGTTAAAAAAGTATCATTGTTTATTTTTTATTTGATTAAGAGAAATTACATCATTACGTGGATTTCTTTGTTGACTTGTATTTTCTTCGCTTAACAATCCATGCACTAACGGTGATAGTAAGTCTTTGTGTACTAAAGTATCTTGTTCGGACTTTGTTAAATAGCTAACAATAAGCCCAATTACAATCGTTGTAATCGTACCTACCGCAGTGTAGTACATATAGGAGAGTTGGAATAAAAAGAAAGTTGGTTCTATAGGTTTGGCTGTACCGTCGGGTACCAAAGTAAGGCTTAAGTATTCTGCTACCCAGTTAGCGTTGCAACCTTCAACGGACACAGGTTTTTGTGGAAATTTAATCACACCACTAGCCATTTTCATTTGAGTTCCTATTGAAATCCAGGCTACAAGGGCTCCGCTTATAAGTCCACCGGTAAGGGCTCCCTAAAATACAAAATTTATGTTTTAATAAATTTGTATAATATAATCCTATAACTATTTGGTTTCTGTTCTTTATTACTGGTACTATATTTTTTATTTTAACAAGGATTATAGGATTATATTATTTTATTTAAATTAAAAAGTCTTACCTTTGAGTTAGCAATGGGGAAAAACATTCCTAGAGTAAATATTCCTAATAAAGGACCGGCAGTTATAGCACTCAGGCTACCAGCGGCTTGGATAAGAGCTCCCATTTTTTCAACCAAAAATACCAACCCAACGCAAATAGCTCCAATGCATACTACTATAACTTTCATTAGCAAACTAGCTCTACTTTCAGACAGTGGTTTTTTAATTCTGGGTTTTATTAAATCTTCGAAAATAACACCAGTCATAGAATTCAACCCAGTGGACATTGAGCTAAAATACAAATTAATGTTAAATGTTAAAATTTTGAGAAAAAAATGTTTACAAATCTTAGCTAATATTGTATTGTATTTTATCTTATTTTTTATCCCCACATATGCTTCGAGTTGCAGCCCTACCAGTGGTGGCTCGTCAGGGGAGGTAAGGGTGTCTTAGCCTCCTCAAAAATTTTAATTACATTTAATTTATTTTGTCGCGAGTACCAACCCAGACAGCATCCAAATCAGAAGGTTTTTTGTACGAAGTCTGTTAAAAAACATTACAGAAGTTACATTATGACATCTTAGAGAAATCATTTTTAAGAGCTCTTGATGAACTTATAAATGAGAAGTCAATTTTTAAACATCTTAAAGTAGGTATATTTTTTTCTGACCTCTTAATAAGAGGCTCTTATTGGAAACAAAATTAGAAGCTACTGAGGATATCATAATTAGGACTTCAGTTATATGATATTTAACAATATTCCATTTTCTTACATCTTACTGAAATCATATTAATAACGTTTTAGGTTGTCAAAATGGAGACGTTACATGTATGACATTTTAATGCGTTCTTCTGGCTGTTTTCATAAAAAAGTCAGTAACAAAAATTCTTTTAGGGATCTCTTTACGGTTTTTTAAAATTTACTATACATTTATTTGACGCATGCCCTACATGTATGTGAAGTAAAGTGTTGAAAAACTAAACCGAACATAACCTACTATTAGAAACGGATGGGTCTTTTTGGTCACAAATTAATGATCTAAATGTTGTGTGTGATGAGTTTTACAATGTTATTTATAAATTGTTTGATAAATGTGTACCTGTTAAGAATATTAAACAAAAAAAAACTAGGGGGCTTGTATAATGATTTATACAAAAACTCGCACGGTAATAAAACATCAAATAAAAACTCGTATAGGAAATATATAAATAATATTAAAATAAACTTAAAGTATGAACCTTAATCCTACATTAACTCAAAAAAAGGATTTTCTCGTATTCCAGGAACGATAAAAATGATATTGTAAATAGTTTTACTGACTTTTTTAAGAGTGTTAATATATTTAATCGATTACTTTGGCTAAAGCTACCGCATATTTATGTTTTAATTACATCACTTTGGATAGTATTGATGAAAATGATATACTTGCTTGTGTTAAGCGACTAAGTAATAACATGATAGCAGGGGTGGATAACATACCCAGCTTTCTTGTAAAGGATTGTGGTGGTGTCTTTGTTATGACACAAATTTTAATAAAATCATTAAATGTCAAACCTTCCAAAACATATAGAAAATTTTATAAACAGTACCCGTTTAAAAAAAGGAGACCCTTTTTGCATCACAAACTATCGACTATTCTTTGCAACTTTGCTAAAATATTTACAATGAAATTTTACTCCAAATTGTATTGTCAACTAAAATTGTTCATTTATTCATTTTAACATGGTTTTGTTGATAAAAAATCTACAATAACTAATTTAGCCTCATTTACACAATATGCCTGTGAAGCAGTTGATCATGGATCTCAACGACGTAATTTTTACCGACTACCAGAAAGCTTTTGATCAAATTGATCACAATATTCTATTGGAAAAAATAGAAGGCTTTGATTTAAATAGTAATTTAATACAACTCTTTTACTCTTATTTAGTAGGTAGGCTAACCATGAGCGGCCACGGAGCCCTACTAGGGTAGAGTACATTGTGTGATAAAATTGAGTTGGCCAAAAGTAGGCATGTTTACCTGAGAGCAGCACTAAAAACTCCACTAACAAATAATCCGGGTAAGCCAGGCATAAAAGCTGCTATCTCCATCACGAAATATGGCAACAGTTGATCGGATTTATGTATTGAGCCTCTGGTTACTGGGTCACATTTATAATACGCTGCGTAAATAACCAGGCCCATGTAACAACACATTGAAACTAAGCATGCAATACCGATTACCAAAATTCCAATAGTTCTGTGAAATAAGAAATAGGTATGTAATTATGAAATCCTATAAAAATCGTCTCTTCAAGAACTTAAAAGTATACAGTATTTATTAAAAAGTTCTTTTTGGGACAGCCTTTATTAAAGAGATTAATTTTCTTACATTCTGGCAGACTTTAACGACGGCATTGCTAGACATCTTTGAACCATTGCTTGATTAACAGAGCATGACGCCAGCCACATAAAATAGTTTCCAATAGTTACTGTCCAAAATGTATGCCGGATAGTAGGATCTAAGTTCATGCTAGAAAAGTTAACACATGAATTATTTTAAATTTAATTTAATTTTTAGGTAATAATAAACTTAAGTTTTATGATTTTAACACGTTGTTTTTGCACAAGCATATCTATATAAAATTTTGTCTAAAACAAATTCTTACTTAAAAAAATCTATTCTTCCCCCTTTCATACTTCTACTCCAAACCTCTTGAAATCCTCCTACACTGCTCGTTCCCATCCATATAACCACAATCATTGATCCAAACAAAATAATGGTTTGAATCGTATCTGTCCAAACAACAGCCTTTAAACCTCCCTAAAATATATGTATTTGTGAAAATTGGGAATTCTACGCGAGATATGAAATAACCTTAAAATGCCGTACATTTATTTGCATGGTATACAGGGAAACTACATTGCCAAGTGGACTAGATAATACGCGGTCTGAAGACTAAGACTAAAAGGAGAACTTTTAAAAATACTCTTGGACAAGTGTGTCAAGGGGACATGATAATTATTATTATAAACGGTCAATACTATGTATTTGTGAAAATTGGGGATTCTACTCGAGATATGGAATAACCTTATGGGAAAAAAACCGTATGGACCGAAAAGATTGGTCCGAACCGGACAGAAATATTTTTATTGGAACCGTAACTGAACCCGAACCGAAATTTGTCGTTTCTCTCGGAACCGGACAGGAACCGTTATTTCATTTGGATCTGGATCCTTCGTCACTACAGCTAACTAACAACTCCCCAACTTCAAATAGTAATCCCAAATATTTGGCGTAATACTAATTTCCCGGCCTAGGGTGATTCCGCGTCGTACGCAGATTGGAGTCGGATTATTACAAAAAAGATCGAAAAAATATTTTTAGGGGGTTCGATAATTCATCTCATGAACCTTCGGGGGAGAGGTACGGGATCAATTTTGACCAATTCTAGCGTCACGAGATTTATGGACGCTCACTTCATAATACATAGTTTTGATAGTACAGTGGGTTGTCTGAGTACACTACCAAAATGGATTATAGAGATAGATAATAATTTTTCTTTGCATAATGATTCCTATAAAAACCATTAGGAAATTAAACAACTTACCAAAGTAGTATAAAAAATGCAGACGATACACACTATAGGAGTAACCAAGTGTAAATTAATTCCTGTAACTAAAAATTATTGGATTAATTAATTAAATTTAATATAAGCATTTTATTAGCTCTATGCTTACCTTGACTAAAGGCTAATGCAGGTACGTAAATAACAATGGGAATATAAAGAAGCATTTTTGTCAAAAATAGTATTGTTCCTAATAGCCGAACAGTGGAATTAAAACGAAGATTTAAGTACTAAAATATAAATATAAATTGTTAGAGTATTTAAAAAATGTAAACCAGAAATTAAATAAATTAGAAAATTATATATACAACATTTTGATTGTTAATAAACTTTAAGAGTATACTGAATTTTATATTTTATTTATGCAATTTACAGTTTAAAAGATTTTCTTCTAGGTAAGACGTTAGGTAGTGATTTTTACTCCATACACTGTTCAAAATCAAGAATTTTGAAATACCTAATCAGAATTAGTTAAGGAAAAATAAGGTAATATGCTTAAACGAGTAAAGCAATTTACCTTTTCGTTTATTAGGCAGAAACGAATGCCTTAGTTCTATGGTGTATTCACTAACTTCTAGATAAATATTTATACTTTACTTAATAAACTTGTCAAATTTAAAAAGATAGGCAGATTACCTAAATATTTAGTCAAAATCTCAATTACTTTTAGGTACGACAATTTTGCTTTTAATTTTGGTAATTCTTCTAAATTATTATGGCAAATTATTGAACTAATTTAGGTAAATTCCTTTAAATATTAGAGACTTACTTGCAATCGGGTACGATCGCTAATACCGGCTAATCGCGCCTATATTGTCCACCATAATGCCAAAATCAACGAAAGCTTAAAGACCGCGTTGTGTGCTATTGATATAACAATTATTAATTATTGTGCTATAAGTGAACATTTCGTAGTGCTATAGTTAAGTAATCCAAACTAAATGGAATTTCCCATTGACACCAATTTATTTTTAAATAATCCCAACCCTGCAGGGTACATGTAGTACCGGAACCGCCGTTGTTAATTCGCCTAGGACATAAAGATAGGAGGATAAAGGAGTCATAACTTGAAAGAAAATTCCTATTCTAGGATTTTCACTAAAAATATATATAATTTGCCTAAAAACTTAGCTAAAATCTACCTAAAAATTTAAGTAAATTGCCTTAGAAACAGGAAATTTATTCTTTTATTCTCAGGCAATATCCCTTACGATCTAAGGTGTATCATCTTTGAACCCTAAGTAATTTTGCTTAATTAAATAATCATTTTCTTTAAAAATATCAGTTAAAGAATTCACTAATTTAAAAGGGGAATATTCCTCTAAATTCATTTCAAGCAGTTTGCCTTAAAAAATCAATGGTCCTATATAGTCTAATATTTTAGGTAAAAATTAGCTAAAATTTTGAACAGTGTATAAATACCAATACTTCGTTGGTCGTTTCCATAATTTTGGGTAAATGGTCGACAAGAGCTAGGTGCATTTTTGATAATTTTTATAACGAAAGCGGGCAAACTATACCTAAACTTCACAATTTTTTAGCCGACTAAATTGTGCGTTCTTCTGTTTATTTTTTAAATAGAATGTGTAGAATATTTTCCTTGTTTTCACTCATATTTACTTAATAAACAAATGTGCACAATATTTCTAGAAAACCGGCAATAGATACCTACCTAACATTGAAGGAATAGAACGTTCCGTATATTTAACTGAGAATAGGTCTCTTGTTTGACGTAGAGAATTGCCCACTAATGACCAGCTTATCATGTCAATTTTCTTTTGCAATGTGTAGGACATTATAACTTATAATTTTAAATAAAAGAAATTAATTTATGTTAAAACGCTCGAAATACACACTAGCAAATGCAAAACAAAACTGAATCCTCGCCTACGCCGGCAATCTGCTTACAACGCATCTGGGAAGGGACAGCTTGGGAGGGGCGATCGGATTCACTCGGGTTCACTCGACTGTTCAGGTTTCAAATGAAAATGCGGTATAGGTCCAACTCAAAAGAGAGGATATCCCTTTATAGAATGTATCTTTTGGGATGAAAAATAAACGATTTGATTTGATTTAAAAATGCTGCTTTAAAAAATAGTGCTCAAACTGGACAATTAAAATTCGGAATGCCAAATTCGAAATCCAATTTTACAAATTTAAAAGACACGTTTGGTGAAATTAAATATAATTAAACTGAAGTTTTGTGCAAATTCAAATTTGTATTTTTACCAATTTACTATTTTATCTCCTTAAAAATAAAAATGATTGTCAAAATGTAAAAAAAAAAAAATTGGTTTTACCAGTTTTAATAGTGAATTTGTATTACCTCATAACTTGATGTTATTTGCAACTTGTAGAAAACCGGCAAATAAGCAAAGGCCATCGCAAGAAAAACAACTCCTTTGGAACATAAAACCATCCAAAATTGTGTTCCATAGATATACATTTCGGCTGGAATTCCAAGAACACTTATTCCAGAAATGTAACTGCAAAATGTTTTAAAATTATTTAAAGTCCTGAAACGAACTTTTATTTATTTAATTTAGGCTATTCATGCACACATTATTAGGTACCTAATTAGTTATTCAGTCAGTATAAGGCGCATATGCTGAATCAGCATAGTTTACTATCCCCTAAGACATAAATGAAAGTAAAGTAACAATCACAATTGTGATGTTAATATACTGGAGGCTCCAGTATATATATATTGTGATCTGGAGCTGAAAAATCTGTAATGAACTCAAGTATAGTAGAGCTATGAAAGGTTCAGCCAATAATTGAAAAGTCAAATCCCAGTAGGTATATTAACTTTAACATGTATACGAGTTTTGTCAAAAGAAACAAGCGATTCCTGAAATATGAAAAGAATTGTTCGTGGTAGCTTCATCGGATTTTTACACTCGATAGCAAGATCACTGACAAATGTTAATAAGAAATTCTGAGTGGCAAATTTACTACCAAAAAATACACTTAGATTACAAACATATTAAAAAAATGTACGCGTAACGCCTTCTGTTGTGTATTGAACTTTAGTATTAAAAAACTGAGCCGAACATAACCTTAAAGACAAGTTGTAGGAGTTATTTATGTTATAATGACGAGAATAATGAGCCTGAAATAACCGTTCACATGTAAAATAAGCTTTTAGAGGTAACATCCCTGCTTAAAATACCCCATAGAGACCTATACAAAATAATCTATCGGGCGCTACCGAATTCAATATGTGCATTTGTCCATGGTTTTTTCCGGATACGGCCCGATAGAAAATGTATAGGAAATTACCTATAGGCACACCATAACTTTTACATTTTCCCTATTGAAACCGATAGCAAATAACTCAATGAAGGATATATAGGGATATCCCTATAGAGCAACCATAAAACATTTGACAAAATTTTATTAAAACCTATGGGGTCCTATAGGGGAAAAACTAATTTCTACATTTATGTGTATTTTCCCCATTGAAACCGATAGCAAATAAATCAAGGGTGGATATCCCTATAGAACAACCATAAATCTCAACTATGGGTCCTATACAAACCGATACACCCTATAGAAACACCATACATCCCGATACAAATATCTATCGGTTTGAACGGGGTCTCTATGGGGTATTTTAAGCAGGGATAAGTATTCACAGGTAAAAATCTATATTATTGATTTAAAGTACCTTAGGTACCTACGTAATAAATCTACCCTGCTGAAAAAGACGGGTAATATTGGATGATTGCGAATAAAAAACCAAGCTAGTTTTATATCCATTAATATCTGTTTTCATCCGACATATCTGATATTACCCGGCATGTCGGTTTTCATCAGCAATTGCGGGTATAAATATTATCCGCGAACGTCGGGTTTTATCTATTTAGTTCTATGTCTGCTTTCGTCTGGTTTATTATCTATGGGTTTATATTTGCATTCACCCGGTTTTATCTGCAAATACCTGCTTTCGTCTGTTTTTACCTGCGTTTGTCTTCATTTACTTATTTGCCTGCTTACGTCCGGTTTCATCCGCGATTATCTGATTTCATCCGATTATACCTGCAACATCTGCTTTTATACGCGATCTACTTTAATCCGCGAACGTCTGCTTTAATCCGCAAACATCTACTTTAGTCCGCAAAAGTCTGCTTCATCGATGAAGCAGATGTTTGCAGGTGAAATCGGATCCGATTTCACCTGCAAACATCTGCTTTTATCCGCAAACATCTACTTTTATCCGCGAAGATCTGCTTTTATCTGTGAACGTCTTCTTTTATCCGCAAACATCTGCATTTATCCGTGAACGCCTGCTTTAATCCGCAAATATCTGCGTATCGTCTCTTGTGTTGAGGTTTCTTGGACGTTTTTCTATTTCAATGGCTTCACGGATGCTACGTTTGGTCCTTTGTTCGATGCTAGCCAAGACCTTTGTTTTTTCAAAGTCAATTTCATGGATATTTGGACGTGTTCAGCTAAGGAAGATGTTTTTTCTTGTTTTAAGACAGGGTTACGATGTTCTTCGCGTCGAACGTTGATACGTCTATTCCCATACAGCACAAGATGTCCATTGGACGTCAAATGGACTTACATTGGACGTTTGGATGTACAATGGTCGTCCGCTGGACGTCCAATGGGTTGGTTTGTCCCACGTAGCTTCCTTCACAATTCTTACAAGGAATTTCGTAAACGTTGGATGCGCCCTAGGCAATTGATGATGTTTTGGTAAAAAAATACAGCGTAAATGTAACAGAAAGGTAAATTTACCTTTTATTCCTTTGGTCATGGGCTTCCCAGTTTGCATGTTGTTATTTTACTATTAATTAAATATTGGATTAGTCAATAATACATACAATTTTGTAAGTATAAATTATATATAAATATACAATCTATAACAATTATTATACCTAAGTAACACATATTTTCTTAGATTTCCTTAGAAACTGCATCGCCACTGTACGGTACGCGATGATTTTGACAAACATTGCGCGTCCATGCAGTGTTATAAGGCACGAAGTCTAGAGACAGGAGTACAAACCGATATGGAGTGGGTGAAGCAAAAAGCGTCTGCAATGATGAAGTATCTCAGTGCGCCATGGACGATTTAATTTCAAACACATGGAGCCTACACAAGGAGTCCGAACTGCATGTAAACAAGAATCTTCCTAAGGAAAGTAGGCGCTGGTGTCCCGTTTATTCTGAAACAATTGACTAATTTGTACCGAAACGCTACCAAAAGAGCAGACGTCAGGACGCATCAACAATCAGCGCCGCTGGTGGTGAAAAAAAGACTTAATTTGTGCAGGTTTTGTCAATTTTCCCTATTAAGTTCTGGCTCCTTGTGTAGGCTCCATGTTCAAACACATGGAAAACGTCAACTTCATACTTGATTGTGATTGGCCCTAATCAGATTGGGTTTGTGCGCGATGCATTGCTCATAAAAATACGCGTCAAACTGTTTGACTTAAACATCGGCTAAGTTTGTACTCCTGTAACAAAAACTGAGTCCTTGCCATAGACTCCTTGGTAGTGGTATTTGTTTAAATTTTAGAAGAAAAAACGGGTTAAAATTAAAAGTTTTAAATTTACCGCCATTTTAAATAAATGTCAATATTGGCAACTAACCATTGTTGATACGTACCAAACAGAAATTTATCATTCTTTCCTTCATGCTATTTTATTAGTGGGTTCTTAATAGTTTTCTAATTACTTATATTAATATACAATTTAAGTGTGTTGCTATAAAATATTGGTAAGTAAACTAATTTCTTAAGAATTATTCATAATAAGGTACACACCACTATAAATGTGTTTTTGTATGCTATGTGTCCTAAAGGACATCAAAACAAGTAGATTTTAATTATATTAAACGCGAAAGCGAATTATTTAAAATCTAGTTTGTAGGTACCTAATAACCAAATTTTTTTTTAAATTTAGTTTTGTAAATGCATGTCATCATGCTCAAAAGTTTCTGTAATTAAGCTACATTCATAATGAATTCGAGCCGACTTGCGTGCCAAATTGGCACGCAAGTCGGCTCGAAATTTATCATTCGCAGTCGAATTTAACGCATGCGCGTTGGTAACTTTAATGTTCTTTGTGAGGTTAGAATTTGGATAATTTTGTTTTAGTTTAGTGCTACTTTTTTAAGGCAAAAATGGACAACTCTCAATTAAATATTTAATTTAGTAATACAATTTTATTACAATGTGTTTTAAACTACTATAGTTTTTATTGTGATTAAATAGATTTTTCTTGCTTTATTTTTTAATAAACTAAAGTAAATAGAGAGGAAATTACAGTGGTTATAACCAAAGATAATACAAGATAATAATAATAATAATCTTTGGTTATAACCACTGTAATTTCCTCTCTATTTACTTTAGTTTATTAAAAAAGAAAGCAAGAAAAATCTATTTAATCACAATAAAAACACTATCCTCAACGCCATTGAAAATCATAGAAATCATTGAAAATGTCAAACCATCATAAGAAAAGCAATGCGCATGCCCCATAGCCGTCAGGAATGTCGAAGTCGAAGTTTGCAGCTTGCAAGAAATTTTGCCCACTTCCACTTTAACGTAAAGTGACCACATTCTGTCAAAAAAAAATCGGGACATTTTGTATGAATTTACCTTAATTACAAAATTGACACAATGATACAATGCAAATTGTAAATTTGACGTTACTTAATTATTGTTGATTGTGTCATTTTTGTAATTAAGGTTAATTTACACAAAATGTTCCGTTTTTTTTTGACAAAATCTGGTCACTTTACTTTAACGTCGAATTTTATTGTGAACGATCACACTGTTATTACATTTGCTTAGCTTGCGAGCCATCTCACAAATCACTCACAACTTTAAACATATACCTATATAAAAGTATATGTCGTATTTCTGTATCTTATTTTATTATATAGATACTTAAGGTGGAGTTTTGTGAAATATAACTTTATTAAAAAAGCAGCGATCATGTAGTAGAGCTCTTTTTTTACGTTGAGCCAACCGATTTCCCTGTAATTTGCGAATACTAAATAGGTATTAGTCTAACACAGCTATTTTGAATAAGCTAAAGCCTATTGATATCCCGATGTCTAAGAAAAGGTAGAGTATTGCCATAATTGAGATGCGATACTACTAGAGCCTCACACAGGGCCGGGCCTAAGGGGGGTGTAGGGGGGGGAGTCACCCCTCCCAAAGTCTTGGCAGTTGGTTCCAAATCCAAACACGGTTGGCAAAATCTATAGTATTTGGGTCGGTTGGTTGGGTATACCTACCCTACCAACCAACCCATCACAATAAATAAAATGAAATATAATTTTTAAACTTTACCTACACATTACAAAATTATAATTTTTAATCTATTGTAACCTCCTATAATCGTTACCGTCAAGAAAATTGTATTGGTCAACCTTATTTTTATTAAAGGACATTATATTTCACACGCGGCATGTACAAAGTCGGCACCGCCTCGCGGCTTTGTCTTTGGTTTTGGCGGCGTTTGACTCTTTTGCACCGCAATTTTCGGCGTCTTATTTTTCTTGATTATTAATTAGTTGAAGCTTCTCTAAGCTAAGTAAAACTAGTGTCAATAAATAGGAATTAATTTTTGTTTAATATGGAAGAGAAAGCTAGACCGGGCCGAGTTCTAGTAAAATGCTCATTATGTGGATCTGTGTTTAACAAGGACTAGAAAAAAAATGCACGAGGAAAATATTCATGGTGGAAATTTGGTTAAAATTAAAATTGTTACGGATAATCCATTTACATTTGCAGCAAATCAAAAAAATAGAGAACGAGAATCAATCCCATCGACTTCGAAAGAGCATGCTACTAAAGTATCGATAAAAAATAAGTTGGTTTTTTTTATCGTCTCCACCCCCCCAAAAAAGTGTGCCTCGGTACGGCCCTGGCCTCACACAATTTGGTTGTATTTTTTTGGCATAACAGATGTTTATAGGAGTAAAGTAACTTTAAATAATTTAATTATTTAGTAATTATTACTAAAAGATTTTTTAATAATGCTATTAATTTGAGCTCCAACAGACTACTTCCTTTCACTATATTGATTCGTGATTAGACTCTATTTTTAGCTCAGATTTTATCAAATAACAAAATATTAGATTTAGTTGGAGTCAGTGGCGGCTCGTGACCCTTCATGAAGGTGAGGCCCATGGCGCCGCAGGCAATTTTTTTTGAAATTTTCAAGGTCTCGCGTTTTTGGAGCACTTCAGAATCTAAATAAAAAATATATATTATTTAAAAATATGCATGATGTTGTATCGGGAATGTGTGACGTATATGAAGCGCAAATTTTTGAGATTACTATTTCCCTATTATGCGGTCGGGCAATGATTTAAGCGTTTAGATTTAAAGTTGGAAGGGGTGCGCGCTAAATTTAAAGGAAATATTTTAAACTTTGATGGTTATTTGATGTTTTGATACTTTTAATGACTGGAAATTAGTTTAAAAACGTTTTATATTTAAATAAGTAATGTTTCTAACATTTCAAATTATATTATTATTTTAACATGTGTGGCCCGGCCTCAGTTGCTTTATACGACAAGCCGCCACTGGTTGTAGTGATGTCTAGACAACCCTTGTTAAAAATTGTTATGAGATTTAAAATATCTGCATTAATATTGGCACAAGCTATATCTATCTCAGATTCGCCAAAGGAATAAATTAGCTGAATATCGTCCGAATAAAAGTGAGCACTGCAATGTTTATTTTTTTTTTCACACTGGGATGTATGATTGTAAATAGCAAAGCTCCCAAAATTGATCCCTGTGGTACGCCGCAAATTACTTATCTAGCTTTAGAAACCTGATCATTCATCGTAACAGTTTGCCTTCTACCAGACAAGTAAAAATCTTCTTCACACTGGATTAAATCCAATATAATGTAGTAATGACAGCAGAAGTAGATGATGTTCTTTATCTACGTAATGTCGAGTACAAAGCATTCTTTTAGGAATATTACACTTATTTTGAATGAAAAAGTGGATAATAATAAGTAACCACTAAAACTAAATAAATTCAACTTTATTCCTCCTCAACCCCAAAAAAATCTCCGAGCTAGTAGTCCGACCGAGGTGGTAACCATAAGAATGATACATACTATGTATCATTCTTATGGTTTATGTATTACATAGCAGGTAGTAAATTAAGTGTTTGTGAAATTATTCATCTAAAATTAAATATGGTAACCAGATGATTAATTCCAAAACCCCCCTCTGTTCCGAATAGTTTTAAGGGAGCATTCAAATGAACATGGCAATATACGTATAATAAACCTATTTTTTAAATTTTTTTAGAAATATAACAAAAAATTTTAATGGGAAGTGTCCAGAAATTATAAGCCAGGGTGATTTTAAATTTAATTTAATTTGCGGAAAATATTTAGGTCGTTGAATTTTTATCCTCATTTGCTCTAAATAGTAATGCTGTAATGTGTGTCTTATTTATCGACTAGGCTGACTTACATTTGCACAGTTTTTTTAATTTACAGAGAAACAATTAAATACCACTACATTATTGGGATTATTGATATGCTAAATGCTCGTAGACATAACAGAATTTGGGATTTTTGTATTCGACAATGAAAACTTGAGTTTACTCGCTTACTTATTAGCCATAAACTAAAAATGTTTTTATTAAAGTCGTTGGGGCTATATATTTAAAAGTGATATTATCTGGTTACCCAGAAGTCCAGATTTCAACACATGGATTTTTTAATTGGGTTATCTTAAATCAAAAGTACTGAAAATTTTATTTAAAGCAGTTCCTAAAAATTTTTTGGAAATTACTCAAGACCTATGTAGTCTACATTATAAAGTCAGGCATATTTCCTGTTCTATTTTAAGGAAGGGCTATGCGCGAGATAATAATAATAATACTTTTTATAAATGATTTTCCAATTTTTTTAAATAAAAATATCAATTATTTAAGAAAGTAATGACAATTTAAAATTAGAAAACCTACTGGGAAAACTTGTACATTCGTCAATAATGTTTGTAAATTAAAATTGTTTTAAAAACAGTAAAAGTAAAAATATAATATAAATAATATAAACACGACCCTTCATTAATAAATATGTGTCAACCTATATTTCTGTACAGAAATATTTTTCTCAAGAATTGATTGTACTATTTTAATTTTAACTTGTTTTTATTTACAGCAAATAAAAATGTCCAAAAAGGAGTATGAGAGAAAACAACGCGAAGATCAAGAAGCAGCTGCTCATGTATTTCAAGATTTCATTACCACTTTTCAAAGTAATTCGACAGCACCCAATAAAACTTTTGTTAAGTCAGGTATTTTGTACGGAGAAAAAAATATTATTGAAAGTGAATCTGGAAAATTGTATAATCCTCAACCTGTTATTAAATCAACTTCTAGCAGCATATTAAAAAACGCTGTTGAATGTGCCAAAATATTAAAAGATAATAAATTAGATAGAATTAAAAAACATGACAAACCAAAATCAAATTTGGAATTGCTTAAAGAAGAATTAAAACTACGACATAAAGAGCGAGACGGCCGAGTAAAACTTAAAGTTGATATTAATCCACCAATTAATTATCCAGACGGCGAAGATCCGAATTCGACCAATTTATTTGTAGCAAATCTGGGTCCCCGTGTGACAGAAAATGACCTAATGCTTTTATTTGGAGTTTACGGGCCTTTAGCGAGTGTAAAAATTATGTGGCCAAGAGGGGAAGACAAGACGAGAAGTCCTAACTGTGGATTTGTGGCATTTATGAGTAGAAAAGACGCTCAAAGAGCTTTAAATAATCTAAAGCATAGAGAAGATATGCGTGTAGGTTGGGGTAAATTTGTAGAAGTACCTCAACACCCTATGTATATCCCTAACAGCCTATTAAAAATGTATTTGCCTCCCCCAGCGTCAGGATTGCCTTTTAACGCCCAGTCAATTAGAAAAAACAACGAAAAACCTACCAATGTAGATGACTTACAAGAAATTCTTTTTAATTCCACAGTTAAAGTAACTATTCCCTTCGACAAAAAAGTTCTTGTTTTAGTTCATAGAATGGTGGAATTCGTTGTTACCGAAGGACCAATGTTTGAAGCCATGATCATGAATAAAGAAATAAATAATCCTGATTTTAATTTTCTTTTTGATTATCAATCACCTATACATATTTACTATAGATGGAAACTATATTCAATAATGCATGGCGAAAGTACAAAAAATTGGAGCATGATACCTTTTAGAATGTATAAGGATGGACCCATATGGATTCCACCAACTGCGCCAAATTATTCGGATGGAATGCCTGATAGTTTGTTTATTATGGATAATGTTATAGACAGAACTCAACTTTCACAAGCACAATTTAATAGGCTTCATTTTATTTTAAGAAATCTGACAATAACACGTGCAAAAATTAATGAAGGGATGTTATTTTGTTTAAATCACCCTGACGCTATAAATGACTCAATAAGTTTAATTATTGATTCTATGAAAGGAACTCATACATCCCCAGTGAAACAAATCGCCAGACTATATATTTTATCAGATGTAATTAGGAACTGTTTTACACAAAATATTAAACCTAAAATACTTAATGAAGACATTGATGAGATGTTTATTCTTTTTGAAAACTTACATTCTACCATGGCAAATTTAAAATCAGATATTGATATTAAACATTTTAAATCTCGCGTTTTGAAAATATTATATTGCTGGGACACATATAAATATTTTTCTTTAGGAGTTGTTAAAAAGATGGAAAATAAATTTCTTTCCGTTAACTTGCCAAATATTCAGTCCCTTCCCGATATAGATGAAGATGCTTCCAGTACCGATGAACCTTTAGATGGAGCCAGCCTTTTGAAACGTTCTTTAAAAAATAAAAACGATAATTGCATTATACCACCAATCGTCAATACTCGAAGTAAAACACAAATGTTTTCATCAGAATGCTTTGTGGCCTCAAAATGGGATACAATTGATCCTGAAGAAGTCCAAGCTCAAGCGATGTCGACTGAAAAATTATACTTTCTTGAAATGGAGAACAAACCTGAAAAGGATGTTAAAAATAAGGAAAATTCAAAAGATGAGATGTCCCATACATCAAGAGAACATAAAAAAGGGTATAAAGATGAAAAACAAAGAAAAACACATGATCATCATAGAAGAAGACACAGTCGCAAATAGTTGTTTGTTGTATTTTTGTATTTAATTTGTAATAATTTAATATTAACATTTAATTATATTAAAAGCTTTTTATTTCATTTTCCAAACTAAAAGATTCATTTTTAATTATAGCATATTACACTGTAAAGTGTAGGATAGGAGCGTGCCGTATTGGGGGCCAGGGGGGCCTCTCTGCCTTTCTGTTTAGACCCCCTTATTAGCAATATTTCTATGCTATACTTTCATTTACTATAATAAATATTATAATTATAAGCGCGCTATTTATTTTCACTTCTAGCAGTCGTATTACTGTCCCTAGTCCGCCTGTTATTGAAAATTAGTGATGCCAGATCGTGAAAATCGAGAACCTCTAAAAGGTGCGAATTAAGTAGATTTGACCAAAGATAATACCCCCCTATATATTGGAAACTCCCCTACCACTGCACTGGCCTCTAGAGCTGCAATACCTAAGAAATACTGATTTGTAAATTGCAGACAAATGCTATTTGCAAATGTCAAACACAATAAATGATCGGTGAGAATAAGAACAGTACAAGTCCAAGTCCATTTTCCAAAATCAATTTTAAAGTTCAAAATACAGATACAGAAGATATAAATTATTATACAGAATATGAATATTATATTTTATAAAATAGTTAAAATTTTATCACAAAAATGCATTTAGAACTATAAAACTGAGTTTTTGAAATATTTTGTCAAAATTTTAAATTTTGTACTTGTACTGTTAAATTTCACCGATTAAATTATTTAACTATTGTATGACATTGTATATTGTATATTTATTTCATATAGCTACCAAGTATAATATAACATATTTTGTTTTATTTACGAGTATGTTCAAAACTAACAATTAAATAAATTTAAACAAATTTATCGAACATAAAATGTTGTACGGTTTTTGTGAGTTTATACAAGTCTTTAAAGTGCCGAAGCTTCATAATCTTTATATATCTTTTTTGCTTTCATGGTTTGTAACTATATAAACCACTATTGTGATTAAAAATGGGACTCCAGTATTTGAAAATAATTTGATGGAGACTTCCAATCATAATGGATACTCAATAAATATTTTTGTTTGTTTTTATTAAATTTTAAACTTCGGACACTTAATAAGGGATGTTTTTATTGTTATAAAACTTTAAAAATAAATAAAACAACTATTTTACAAAATAATATTCATTTTTAGTTATTTGGTTAATTAGGTCAAAATATGGCCAACCCCCAAATAATTCTACTTATAAAAATGTGTATGTGTGATTTTCGTTAAATTTAATGCACTATCTTGAACCGTTTTTAATTTTGGTAATATTTCAAAAATACAAATTTTTAGGAAGCAAATAAGTAGAAAGATCAAGCTACAATAATACAATTATTAAAATTGCATCTATTAGGTAAATAAGTACTTCATTCTTATTAGTATACTAATTAAACATTTAAAGGTTGATAATTAATAACCTTAATTGGCACAAAAATATTACCTATATTATTATAAATACAAACATAAAATCTTTGAAATTTTGTACTATTTTCAATGATGTTTGCATTTAAAATTATAAATTAATTAATACTAAACATACCTTGCAATTAATGACATAGAAATTGGAAAAATACCCATGGTTTTTCCTCCCATGAGATATTCTGATGTTGTATTTTGTTTAATTTTTGCAAAAAATGCAAAATATACACCAATTAACGCGGACACTAATAACATTGCAGCAAACACTATGTAATCAAATACATCAAAATATTTATCAATATGGGGAGTATCCATTATTACGGGCGATAACGTGTACACTTTAAGCAAATACCAAGATATTAAAGCAAACCTAGTAAAACATTCAATTAAATATAGAAATAAATTTTAAGACTCTTTAAGCCACAATTGGAAAATTGGGCTACTAGAATACTTGTGGAGAACCTTGTCTTAATAATATAATAATGGTACAGAATGTCCAGGAAGCCATTGCTTAAATTACTAAAGATTATATAGCTAAAATTAAATGAAGTAGATATATCGCCCTTTGGCGTTTTTGGGCAAGAAATACAAATTTGTCCAAAATTTTTATTTTACTAGTAGAGGGCGCCCCTTACTTCCTTTAGATAACATAACTTTTTTAATTTAATTTTTAATATTATTGATCTGACTATTAAAAGAATTGATTAGTCCACTCTTTTTTCTAAAGTTATACCTTATTGAAGCCGCCAGGAGTAATTCTTGAGATAATAGCATTTTAGTTTTTCCATTGTGCCAAAAGTACTTAATAATAACACAGCTGGCTGTTTTAAAACATTAATGATTGGTACTTACAGAATTGTCATAGTTTTGCTATACAGGGTGGTCATTAACTCGCTCCTTAACGGTGAGGGATAATGGTACAGTTGTATTCATTAAAAAAGCGTCCAAGAATTAGAATGAGAGAAACCTTTCAACATTATTGCGTAAAACCGGCTTTCCACTGACTTAAGTCACTATAACTGACAGTAGAAAATAAAAATGCCTCGTCAGTTAAAAAGGCTCAAAAAGTATCAAGAATCGAAGAAGAATGGTCAATTCGTACCGTGGTATAATAGAAATAAAAAATCTATATTAAAAATTATGCAACGCTGGGAACAGGAAGATTTACTAAACCAAAAAGTTGGTTCAAGTCGTCCCAAAATGTTCACCCCTGAACAGGATGCTGCTTTTTTGGGATATCTGAGGATTTATGGGAAACTATACAACTATACTATACGGTATAGTCTATACCTACTATACTGCTGGGAGGATATTAATCCAAATATTTTATTAAATTTAATTCAGTTTATCCCAAATAGATTGGCTCAAGTAATAAAAAAACACGGATGCATGACTAAATATTAAATTTTTTTAATCTTTGTTTTTTTTTCATTTCTAAAAGGTAATAATTTTTGTAATATTTAACTTACGACGTCAATGCTCTTTATAACCTATAGTAATTATTTTAATGACTTATGTCAGTGATAAGCCGGTTTTAAGCAATAATATTATTTTGACAGTTTTCTCTCATTCTAATTCTTGTACGCTTTTTTATTGAATACAACTGTAACATTTTGACACGTTAAAGTTTTTTCTTACTACCTCGACTCAAAATACGTTGTTTCGTCCCCGATTTCACGGCAGAAAGTTTACGTTTCTTGCATTGGTCAAGCTATACGCGCACACTCTAATAGCGGGAGTAAAAATTTTTTAGTCGTTCAAATTTCCTACTGCCAACATGAGAAACACAAAAATATGACAGTTTTAAACCATAATTTTGCAATTATAACAACAAATAAACAATTTATGTTTTTACTTTTTTACTTTTTATGTTGTTTTAAGTGTTTAATGGTACTTTTATTTGTTATAAAGTAGTAATTTGTTAATTAAAATACAACCTTTTATTTTTACTGTATTGGCACTGCTGAATTACCATGACAACGCTACAGTTTGATTGATTTTGAATGTAAACGTCAGAATTAAATTAAACGTCAGATTTTAATTTTGAAACAAGTTTTTTTATATAAATTTAATTTTTTCCCGTATTTTCTGCGGGGTAGCAAGAAAAATAGTATACACTACACGGGCAGAAAGTGTGAGAGTCCTGAACTGCGCGCCATGATGCCCTTGTAGTGTAATATACTATTCTTTCGTTTTATCTCCTGAAAAAAAAGTTTTAACATGTATTTAGCTGCTGAATACATGGAAATGATTACAATTTATGGTAAATGTAAAAGGGGCTTAAGAAGGTGCTCGAGTTTATTAAGAACGATTTTCCTGATCATAAAGTTATTCTACCAAGTCCCTTATGAGTGCACTACGGGTTTTATTTACGGATGAATCTGTTTGGTCGAGAAGGTTGATTTAATTCTCACAACTGGCATGTCTGGGCTGAGAAAAATCCAAATGCTGTTTTCCTAGAGGATTCCAAAAAAGGTTTTCCATCAATTTGTGGGCTGGTCTCATTGGCGACCGTTTGGTTGGGCCTTTGGTTGAATTTCCTAGGTGTTTGACGAGCCAAAGGTATGCGGAGTTCCTTAATAATGACCTTGACAATTTAATGAAAGACTTTCCATTAATATTTGAGGAGCATCCGTGCAAAACCGGCTAAATCCATTTTATTCAGTTTTTGTTTTTTTCTGATTTCGCATCTTTGGGTTTATGTCTATCGACAACCAATATAATTCTGTTTAAATCCGACTATATCCATGTTAAAATCACATTTAAAAGGTAGCTTTAGGAGCAAAACCGGCCAAATCCACGTTTTGTCTACATTTATGCGAGATTTGTTGTGTATTTACGCACGGAATTCCTTATTTGATATTTATTTTAGCTTTCAAAAAAATAATTCAATGGTTTAAACTTGTTAAAAAAGATGGTACGGAAATAGAATGGAGTACCATCTGGTGGCCAGATTAGTGAAAAAACGGAAACGCTAAAAAAATGGCAAATGCGTCGGGATTAACTGAATTATGGATTGTCTCGTCCGGTGTACCAAGATTTTCTTGAACGGATAAAGAAGACCGGACATTTCGGTCATTAACCGGACATTAGGCAACCCTAAGTACTAATTATGCTTAAGGATTAATGTCGAATACTACTAGAAAAATAAGAAAATATAATACATGGGTATTTCAGTTATCTCGGAAACCGAATCAAATTCGTCGCCCAAAATTGTTCGGATTATTTAAGGGTGTTAAAAGAAAGAATACAGAGCATTTAAAATACCAGTTGACATGTAGTTTTACCATATACTTTGATGCAAAATACATTTAATAGAATTTTAATACAAAATTACATAAATAAAGCACTATTTTTATAGTTTAAGTTTAAAAACCGCATGTAAAATCCCATTTGAGGTTTAGTTTTACTATGTACTTTAATGTCAACAAATAACCAACGTTTTCTGTTCTGTAAATTTACCATAATACTTTTTGCAGTGTGGTAATGGTTGCCATGTTTCAGTAATTTCAAAAATGGCGAATGTGCCGGGATTAACTGAATCTTTTGTCCGGTTTAGGTACTAAAATTTTTTTGTGCGCACGAACACAAAGAAAACTTGACAAATTTAATAATAAAATCAGATTCCTTTTTCTTTTCACGCAATTTTTGATAAAGATATAACAATTACTTAGTCAAAAAAGTCTATGTGTTATTACACAATTTCTTCTGTATTTATTACAGAACTGTTTCTGTAAATTAATATTTACGTTAAATACAATGTGGATTTACACAATATTCCGGAAATATACAGAGTTCAATGTATTTGTACAATATATCCTTTATATTTACAGAGTGCAGTTTAAATACTCATAAAAATTATTGTAATTTTACAAAGTAATATGTGACAACACAAGCATTTTGTGATTTTAGAGCTTGCTCTGTAACTTTACAGAATCCACGTAATAAACTGACCAATCAGAGAACTGATGTGGTCACGCGATGTACATGGCGATGTCATGGCGTCGCTTTATCCAGTATTCGTTTATTTGCGTTTCTGTGAAAAGTATAGGTAAGTCAATACATTAAATTATGCACCTATATGTACTTAATATTTTTATTAAAAAATAGTAGAAGCTTTTATAGTAGGTACAATTGCAGATACCCGTTTTTTTTAACTAACCATATAAATTTGGTAAATCGTTGATTAGTGCTTACAATCTCAAAACTTATTGACAGCAAACTACAGAAACAATTACCAAGAAAATATTGCTCCTGAGCATGGCATTTTTTAAATTTTTGTTGTGTTTTAGATAATTGTCTAACGATTTCACCGTCAAGCCGTTTTTTACTCTGTTAGGAGGTGCATCGTTTACGTTTCCGTCGACCCACAAAACATATGTTTACGTATAGGTACTTTTTAGGGTAATTATTATTAAAATAATGATAATAATATGATATGATGACATAAATAATACATGTTAGGTACTTGTTACATTTTCTAAATAAAAATTGTAAATGTTTTCTTTTTAAGTTTTACTTACCTGCCTTTTTTATTTATTTTGTTAATAATAATATCAGTAAATATAAAGTTTTATTTAGAACCTCAGAACTGGACGTTGTAGTTAACGCCAAAGTTTTTTATTTTTATTTAGGTAAAGCAGTTTACAACCTTAAAATTACTGGTAGTAGGTCTGTGGGTAGTACCTACCATGTCTATGGTACCTACTTTTTAAAAGTTTGAACTCTTGAAAAGTATATAATTAAAAGCTATACTGATTTACATATTTTTTAATCAGTTGTACTCTTAAAGGGTACTAGCAGTAATTTTAAGGTTGTAAGCTGCTTCACATAAATAAAAATAAACAAACTTTGACGTTAATTGCTACGTCCAGTTTTGAGGTTCTAAATAAAATTTTAAATTTACTAATTTAGTTTCGTAATTTTACATAAAATCTGTAGACAGACCTAAAGTAAAATCACAGTAAGTATGTTGTAATATTACAGTAATGTTTACGTACCTATCTATTTTACATAAGACCTGTACAATTACAGAACATCAGTAGTTTTACGTTATGAACCTATTACAGAAATTCTGTGATTTTACTTAACATATGAAATCCTTAAAAAGCTACTGTAATTTTACTGTACAAATTGCAGGCAACAAATAACCCACATTTTGTTCAGTAAATTTACAGAAATCCTTTTTTCAGTGCAATTTCCCATACGCCCAAAAAGATGGCCAAAAGTGAAAATGTGACCAAAAATTCTTAAAAATCGGTAGTTTTAGGTTTTGTGGTCAAGAAATCAAAATTTTAAATTGGCAGACTGAATTCGTTAAAATTGACAATAAATTGACAAAAATTAGTGCTTGTAGATTTTCTTAATGGAAAAATTTTCATTTTACAAAACAAGATTGATGACTTAAAATGGCTGAACGTATCAGTCAAAATAGACGATAATTTCGCAAAAATAAACAAGGAATTCCAAGCATTTCTTTGGCTTTAAAAACAAGCCTTTTTGATTTAAATGATGTGGTAATTTTTTGTATAAAATAAAATTGTATTTTATAATAATATTAGCTGTATCATCGCGGCTTTGCTTGTGTGGTTTAAAAAAAAGCCTTTGTCTATCCCCGGATGTCAAACTCAATTCCAAATTTCATTAAAATCGGTTCACCAGTTTAGGCGTGAAAGAGGAAGAAAATAGCACAGACTTTCGAATTAAATTTTATAATATGTTTGTATGGATTATTTGTACGATTTCTATAGTTAAATAGGTTTATTTGATTTTCTTACACTTCTGAAAGTTAATTTTTATAACCAAAATGTTGCTGATTATTGGACTGTATTTACTTTAAAATTGGCTGGTGTTTGCCTATTGGCTGTTTTGTATAGATAAGCTGAACTTTGAGAGAGAATGTTGAATTTAAACGTGTTTATGGGGGGGGGAGAAAACTTACCGATAGTGGGGCTCCTTTTCTTGACCAATATCCAATTATTGGCAGCGAGTTCCCATAAGGCACCGTATCATTATTGCGCACTAAGTTAGTTAAGTTGATGTTGACTCATAAAACGATGCCTTGCTAAAAAAATAGTATAATCTAGTTTTGAATACGGCATATTCCGGTCGAGTGTAAGTATCAAATAATGGTTTTAACTTTGTTATTTGCAAAGTAAAAAAAAAAGTTTAATATAAAAGTTGTTTGGTTCATTACCAAGCATGTTTTGAGTTTTTTAGTTTGTTGATCTTTTTTATATTGTTTCTGTGGCAACCATTTTTTTTAATGGCACACTTACTTTTTTGTTCATTATTAAAAAAAATCATATTTCTCTGTATTCAATCAAACAATTTTGAAGTTTAAAAAAAAAATATGCAAGAAAAAATATTTTTCTATGACCACTATGTAAAAGTCACATTTCGTAATGGCATTTTTGCTTAGAAAATGAATATTTTCATTGGCAAGGCAAAACACGAATGACATTTCTGTGTGAAAAGTGACAGGTCTGTGTGAAAAAAAATTGACAGCATCGTTTGACATTCGTTTCAAAATTTATATTGTATTTGTATATGTATGTCTAAACATCATTTAGAACACAATTAATTGTGTTTGTATAATAAATTATAATTTTTAGTGCTTTTATTTAAATTAATAAAAAACTTATACCTTAAAAATTAAAAGAATAAGATGAAAGTAATTTTAACAGCTGTCAAACACGTTTTTAGGTTATTTTGTTTTGTATTTTAATATAATAAAAAATAAAAGGGTCGGAGAAAAAACATTGAGTTTCACTTGTGAGAAAAGCTTTCTTCAAGCTCGTGTTAATGTACACTCGGCCTGACGGCCTCGTAAGCAACTTTAACACTCGCATGAAAAGTTGCTTTTCAACACTAGTAAAACAAATAACTATTATTACGACTCACTCGTCATCTCTGATAAGGGAAGCTATGGAAAAAGTCATGCAGTTATAAAATTGAAACATTACTCTTGGTAAAGAATGCCATGAAAATTTGTTTTTCTTTAAAGAATAAATAATCATTACTGGTTTAAAGCAAAGTTTTGTTCGAAATTTTTCAAATTATTAATTTTAAAGACATGACACATTTGAGTGAGAGACAACGTATTGATTATGAGTACACTCATATATATGAGTATAAGAACGTATAGCTGCCCAATATTTATTATTTATAATATAATATTTATTGGAAGAAGCACAAGCTTCACCCGGATTAAAAAAATCTGGATTATTTTTTAAATATTCTATAGAGGAATACGAGGGATAAGAGGAATACAGATTATAATGTGTATTCCTCTTCGTCGATAAGCAGTTTGTCGTTTTGAATTTTAGCATCCAATTTGTTTATTTTTGTTTTTTTTTTTAATATATTTCCTAACAATTTTCGGTTTTTATAGTCTTCCGTAGCGTATTCGGAGTCAATGTACCTATAATTTATTATTTTTTAGTACCTACTATTGATTTGGGTTAAGCGTTCTTTAGAATCTCCTTTTTCCATGTTTTTATCGGTTGTTAATGTGCTTGTGCGTTCGGGGCGTTCGTCATCTTCAACGTCTTCACGGCCATCTTGGAAACTCTTATACCAATTGTAAACTCTTGTTTTACTTATAGCAGACTCACTATACCCTTTGTTAATATTTCACAGAATTTATTTCATTTTTTAAGCAAAATTGGATACAAATTCTTTGATCCATTTCTTTTAACGAACGAAAAATCGCCGAGTTGATAAAACACGCCTAACCTTAGCGGCTGCCACAGATAAAGTAAACAATGAAAACAGCTAAAGTTTTTATCATACTTCGGGGGCATGTATACCAACATAAAAAAGAAAATTTTATGACAAACCGGACCCTCCAAACCCGCGAAATTTAACAATTATCGTTATTTTCTGAACACACCTTGTATAATGGATTTAATTCGGACAAGCTCATTCTATGACGAACATAGAACGTGGTGAGTCTCCAGTAGATTTACCTATGCAAAATATTTCTCTAAAGTAAGAAAAGTTCCACTTAGTTTGTAAAGTTTCATTAAACAACTGAAATAAAAAAATTATGTAGCTTACGTTATTACTAAACCAATAATAGTGGTATTATTAATACATACATAACATAATTTAAATATGTTATAAATGTATAAAATGGAACTGAAAGGAAATCATCAAAAATAATTATTAGAGCATTTACTGTATTTACTATGTATCTTACTGTTTTATTAGAAATAATGAATTATTTAAATTAAAATACACTTGCCAAGTAGAGTAGGTAAGTATGATTTAGCATAATTTAAATAAAAAAGATCTTTGTAATCATTATTTTATCTTCCTTAAAATTTATAATAAGTTAAAACTGGTAGCTTAATTTTTTTCTTATCGTTATTTTTCTTCATTTCTTTAGTAGAAGAATCAATATTCTGCATAAAAAATGTACTTTTTAAATAAAAAAAAACATCGTTGGAAAGTAATTAAAAATAAATGTTAAATTTTATGGTATGATACTCAAAAGAAATAATACTTTAAAGCTCTTAAAAAGTAATAAAAGCAGATTAAATAAAATATAAAAGAATATTATGTTTATAAAATTAACATTAAAAATATGCTTAATGGCAATATTAGCGTTGAGCGAAGAAGTGAATGATATTACTATGATTTTTGGTATTTAAGATAACATATAATTTTTCTATATATAAGAATCCAGACTACCTTTAACTTGTAACGGATCGTCAGAGGAGACAAGTCTAAGCTTCCTTAAAATGTTTAACCATATTACTCCAATTACTGTAATTAAATAATTTAATAATTATTTAGAAAGAGAAGAAAATTAAATTTAGAATCATAATTATTACTACACTAATACTTTTAAATGAAATAAACCACTTTATATACAAAACTACGTCACAGAGGCTGCGATTCCGAAGCTTCCGCTGATATCCAAAATCCATTCATAACCCTTACTAATCTCAATAATTAGATTTAATAATTATTACAGTAAAATATCCAAATTGTTTATAGCCAATTGCTTAAGAACAATTTTTAAACGAAACTTAATCTGTATTGTGTTGCACCCGTTTTTTTATTAACCAATCCCCCCGAAACTTTTTTCTAGCTACGGCTTTGTTTACCCCTACCAATTTAAAAATTAATAATAAAAAATAAATTTATGAATTTACCAAAAAAATATTGATTTAAGGCACTTTTGTGCCTCAGGGCCACTTAATATTTATTTTTTATAAATAATTTTGAAATTTATTCCGATCCTGGTTCTGCCTAAAATACGTTTAAATAATTTTTAGACTATTCTTCAATTGTTTATTCTTTGCAATATATGGTCAAGAATCATCACAAATTTTGTTTCCAGATTGATGATAATCAAAGCCAATTATAAAATACAATAACGGTGTGAAACGCAGTGAACGTTTCGAATGTATTAAAATTAATTAATTATGGTTACCGTCAGTTTCTGGTGCATGCTTCAGTTTGTTTAAAAGTGTTTTCGGATTAGCTCTTCAGTGATTTACTATTTGTTTTCTTGTTTTACAAAATGTAAGTTAAATATAAAGATATATAAAACATTTCATTTTCTGTAATTATAATTATTAATGAACAAACATAACTTGTATATATTTTTTAATTTTCTTTAAATGCTAATAAAAATATTATTTCTATTATTTAAGACTACTACTATCATAAATTTATTATATTTTTAATGACTTTATTGCCTGTGTTTTTTTAAAATTTTAAAAATGTTTAACCACAATGTATTTTTTAGAAATCTAAAGTATTATAATTTTTATTCTTAAAATTGACACAAGGTTTGACGGTTTCACGAGAGCGGAATATGCAATTCCAAATGTGTTTCAGACTATACTTTTTCTACGTTTCCAAAAAATACAATAGAAAGATAATTTAATTGTTAGATATTAAACACAGAGATGTCGCCACCAGTATCTATTCCGTCATCAGTAGATAGAATAATTCATTCTGTAATAAAGGGTGTATCAATAAGAGCGCAAGATTTCAAAGTTTAATAAAACATGGTTTTAAGTATTAAAGCATTGAAATATTTATTGATTTATAAAGTACACATTTGGAAATTATGTATAAAATAACACATCTGGTAAATGGCCACCACGGCTTAACTGGCACATGCGTATTCTTTTGGCAAAATTTGCAATAACATTATTGAATACATGTGGCGGTATTTCGTTGATAGAGCGTCTAATTTTTGCTTTTAAGGCTTCGATGGTGGCGGGCTTGTTGGCATAAACTTGAGACTTCAAATAACCCCACAGCCAAAAGTCCAAGGGTGTTAAATAGTGGTGAAAATGGGCCTCATCACTGAAAATGATTTTGTCCGCAAAATCGGCATTCACTTATTGCTGCTTAAGGATCCAATTGGTGAACTCTCTTCGCTGTTCATGGTCTTTTGGCTGGAGTTGTTGAGTCAATTGGACTTTGTAGGCATGAAGATGTAAATCTATAGTAAGAATTCGCTGAAGAGTGGCCTTTGTAATGTCCAATTCTTGGGCACGATGGCGAATCGACGTCTCTGGACTCTCGACCACACTCTCGCGAACTGCTGCGATATTTTGTTCTGAACGACCTCTACGAGCTCGTGTCGTGTGTGTTTACATCACTAACCGAAGCAGTGCTTTCGAATTTTTTGATTATTCTTTTCACAGTAGATGAATTAGGAACATTATTTCGAACAAATATTGGACGCCCTTTACGAATCGTGGCAATCAAACTTTCATCATTTTGATAATAGTGTTTAACAATCAGGACGGATTGTTCTATCGTGTAATGCTCCATATTTACTAACTTCCATCTGTCTCCTATCAATCTGTCATGTCATTAATCATGTGACATCATGGTGGCCAAACTGAGGAGAAATTCAAATCTTGCGCTCTTATTGATACACCCTTTACTTTTAGGAATATATGTCGTTCCACATTAAAAAGTGATATTAGAACGGTCATATTCCGTAATAGGAGTAGAAAAAATATTTTTTGTAGACAATGTCAAATATGACGTATCGGTTTTCGTTAAGTTCATTCTACTATCATAATCAGTTGTTTAGTTTATTATTTTCATTGCTGCGATTTTGCTTATTTTTTATAAATTTTTTGTTAAATTAAAAATGTTTACCTAAAATTTAGTTCATTGCCCAATAATTCCGATGTTGTCTTACAGAGAAAAACAGGACTTGCTTGTGATCCACATTTTTTGTGGCTTAGACATATTTTGTAATATAAATATATTATGCACTGCACTGTTCAAAATCAAGAATTTTGAAATACCTAATCAGAATTAGTTAAGGAAAAATAAGGTAATATGCTTAAACGAGTAAAGCAATTTACCTTTTCGTTTATTAGGCAGAAACGAATGCCTTAGTTCTATGGTGTATTCACTAACTTCTAGATAAATATTTATACTTTACTTAATAAACTTGTCAAATTTAAAAAGATAGGCAGATTACCTAAATATTTAGTCAAAATCTCAATTACTTTTAGGTACGACAATTTTGCTTTTAATTTTGGTAATTCTTCTAAATTATTATGGCAAATTATTGAACTAATTTAGGTAAATTCCTTTAAATATTAGAGACTTACTTGCAATCGGGTACGATCGCTAATACCGACGTAATATTCGCGCCTATATTGTCCACCATAATGCCAAAATCAACGAAAGCTTAAAGACCGCGTTGTGTGCTATTGATATAACAATTATTAATTATTGTGCTATAAGTGAACATTTCGTAGTGCTATAGTTAAGTAATCCAAACTAAATGGAATTTCCCATTGACACCAATTTATTTTTAAATAATCCCAACCCTGCAGGGTACATGTAGTACCGGAACCGCCGTTGTTAATTCGCCTAGGACATAAAGATAGGAGGATAAAGGAGTCATAACTTGAAAGAAAATTCCTATTCTAGGATTTTCACTAAAAATATATATAATTTGCCTAAAAACTTAGCTAAAATCTACCTAAAAATTTAAGTAAATTGCCTTAGAAACAGGAAATTTATTCTTTTATTCTCAGGCAATATCCCTTACGATCTAAGGTGTATCATCTTTGAACCCTAAGTAATTTTGCTTAATTAAATAATCATTTTCTTTAAAAATATCAGTTAAAGAATTCACTAATTTAAAAGGGGAATATTCCTCTAAATTCATTTCAAGCAGTTTGCCTTAAAAAATCAATGGTCCTATATAGTCTAATATTTTAGGTAAAAATTAGCTAAAATTTTGAACAGTGTGTATGAAATGATGTACCATTAAATGGTATATATATATATATAAATTTTATAAAATAAAATGTAAGACAAGCCCAGTTTTTCTTTAAGTACGCCACAATACAGAATATTTTCCAGGTATATAGAAAAACTTAAAATAAAATCTAAAGATATTATCCGAGTTTTTTTCTTACAATTTAGCATCTTAGATAAAATTTCAGTATTTCCAGATTTTATTGCCCATGTATAAATGTCCTGATAAAATTTGGCGGGGGGGCCGAATTCTTATCGCCGCCACTGATACTCGGTAAATTTGGTTTTATCCATTAAACATTGTAAGCCCAAAAAAATCTGGCACCGAATTCAACTTTAAATCCATCTTTGTGCAAATTTATTATATATAATTGTTATTATTTTAGAATTAAAAATGGCCGACGATGAAGTATCTGCATTAGTAGTTGATAATGGATCTGGAATGTGTAAAGCTGGATTTGCTGGTGACGATGCCCCAAGAGCAGTTTTTGCAAGTGTAGTTGGACGTCCCAGATATCAGGTAAAAATTATAATAATCATTGCATTTTTCTTCAGTTTATTTTAACCTTTAGGGAGTGATGGTTGGGATGGGGCAAAAAGATTCTTACGTGGGAGATGAAGCACAAACGAAAAGAGGAGTATTGACTGTTAAATACCCCATTGAACATGGAATAATAAACAACTGGGATGACATGGAAAAAATTTGGCATCATACGTTCTACAACGAGTTGAGAATATGTCCCGAAGAACACCCAGTACTTCTGACAGAAGCCCCGTTAAATCCAAAGATAAATAGAGAAAAGATGACTCAAATTATGTTTGAAACTTTTAACTCTCCAGCTATGTATGTTGCGATACAGGCAGTATTATCCTTATATGCCAGCGGAAGGACAACTGGAATTGTTATGGACTCGGGTGATGGTGTATCACATACCGTTCCGATTTACGAAGGTAAAGCATTTCAACGTTTTAATTTAGAGGAAGGTCCCCTATTTTCGGATAGTTTTTAAAAAATATCCAAAATTTTGGGTTTAGAGCATTAGAACCATTCCAATTTGCAATATCACAAAGATAGTAGTTTTGGGAAACAAAATATTGTAGAAAAAGAACATTTATTCCATTGCGCAATAACAAAAACTTAAACTTTTTCATAAATTAGAAAAAGGTCGCCTAATTTCGGACATGGTGGTTTCCCAATTTCGGATATCCGAAATTAGGCAACAATCAATGTAAAATAACAACATTTTTGGCAAAAAAGTCTCAAAAAATCGATTTAAGAATCTAGACAATATAAATCACAGACGTAGTCCTTATTTTTGGTCCCGTTGCTGGAGTCCTTGTGGGCCCATCTAGAGCATTTTATGCACATAATCCACTGTTCACCACGTTTGTCTTTAGAAAATAGATCTCCGCAGAACATACACTCTGCATCTTTGTCTTGGTTTTCAACTTCCATATCTATTTTATCTACTACCGTGAGTTCTTCTGAGTCACTACTATCGCTAAAAGTCACCATGTGTCCTTCTGAGTCTCTACTATCGCTAACAGTCTCCTTTGCAGACCTTTTTTTATTTATTTTGCTTTGTTTTTTCTTCCTTTTTAATATTGTTTTTTTTTTCAATGACTTTTTTCTGTTTTGTTCACGTAGACTCTCTTCTAGTTCATTCTTGTATAAAGTGCTTGTAATGACCCAGCTTGAGCCTTGGCGCCTTTCTCTGCCTCTATTTGTGGAAGCTGAAGAACTGCTTGTTAGAGGGTTGAAATCCAAAGGCGATTAATTTCGGATATCCGAATTTAGGAACCCTTGGGTATCCGAAATTAAGAGTTTTCTTGTTATAGGTTAAGTTTTAATTTTACTTAAAAATTGCAAGTTAAAACTAATTATGATGTGGAAAAGCTTCAATATATACAAGGCAAATCAAATTAAACTTTGCAAGCGATTTGCTTGCATACTTACCTTGAAAAACGGCAATCAAAAATCACGAACAAAAATCTCAGCACGCTATAAACCGGTTTTTACTTTTTGGCCATCTAGCGAAACATTTGCGAAACACTAAATTATACTGTGTGGATACCAATCAATTGGATGTTTCCAGAGACCTATATTTTTCGGGCAAATTTCAAAGGGGTGACGAAATACCCCACTATCCGAAAATTGGCGCCTATCCGAAAATAGGGGACCTTTCTATTAAACTATTTTTTTTAAATTTAGGTTATGCACTTCCTCACGCCATACTAAGAATGGATTTGGCTGGCAGGGATTTAACGGATTACCTAATGAAAATATTAACAGAAAGAGGATACAGCTTTACAACAAGTGCAGAACGTGAAATAATAAGAGATCTTAAAGAGAAAATTTGTTTTGTGGCTTTAAATTACAAACAAGACATATCTTTATCAGCCACTACGACACTTTACGAGAAATCGTACGAGCTGCCTGATGGGCAAATAATAACGTTGGGAAATGAAAGATTTCGTTGCCCTGAAGCGATTTTTCAACCTTCCTTATTGGGAATGGAAACACCAGGAATCCACGAGACTACTTACAATTCAATTATGAGATCCGATATGGACATAAGAAAAGATTTATATGCCAATACCGTACTTTCCGGAGGTAGCACCATGTTTCCTGGAATCGCGGATCGTATTCAAAAGGAAATCGCAGCTTTGGCACCTGCATCAATGAAAATAAAAATAATAGCTCCACCTGAAAGAAAATACTCGGTATGGATCGGAGGAAGCATTTTAGCAAGTCTCACTACATTTCAACAGATGTGGATTTCGAAACAAGAATATGATGAATCCGGCCCTGTTATCGTGCACAGAAAATGTTTTTAAGTTAAAATATAAATTAAATTGGCCTTGGGAAATGCTTTTTTGCTTATTATTTAAGATTTATATGGTTGTTTTTATATATATTTATTTTTCTATTTATTATTAACTACATAGGTACTATTAGTTTATTAAAATATTTTAATATTATATTAGCATTCTTATTTTTATTTATATCTTTTAGGATTATAATATAATTATATTTAACATATTTAAACACGTGTCTATCTCTAAATGGTGACCATATGTAAATATTTCCAAAAAAATCTCGGTTTGAAAAACCAAACAGCAAGTATACCCTACCTAGATTAGATTTGTAATCGCAATTCCTAAAATCGCAATTCCTAAAATAGACGAATACGAGCAAATTATTAAAATGATTTTAATAAAATCAATTTAACAAATTAATAAAATTAATAATTCTAAAGAAGTATTTTTATAAGTTTATACAGTAGGATTCTTTAAAATGAGGAAAAGGGTTCCTCAAGAGTTCTTTTTTGAGAAGACTTGATTAGTTCAATAGGTGGCGCATTCGAAGTCTTACGAACTTCTTAAAAACTTCTTTCTGATGTTGTATTTGAAGTCCAAATCATAAAATAGAGCTTATGCAGACTTAATTAAGACATCATATTGCTGTCTGAAAACCCTGTCTAAAAGAGATTTGACTTATGTACTTTATAGTAAGTTTTAAGTTTTAAGTTCATACCAAAAGAACTAATCTTTAAAATATGAAAACGTTCAATTTCCTACCTAAACAAGGTGCTAAATAGGAAGTCTATACTAAAAGGAAATAAAAGAACTAATCTTTAAAAAAGAAAAAGTTCCAACCTGACAAAAACCACCTAAGTTCCATCTACAACCTAAACAAGATTTGACCCGACGAAAACAATCTAAAAAAAATAGAAAAGAGTGAGGGCCCTCCTCCTTTATCCGGGCTTGGGACCGGCAGGTTAAAAATACCTGGCGGAGTTACCCTCCACCCTCCTTATCATATTATATACCTAAAATTTCCTAAAACAGATAAGTATTTAAATAAACAAAAACACGCAAAAAACAAATTTATTGGTTGTATACATACTCGCATATAAGATTCACTCGCACCCTGAAGTTCCAAGAAGTCCAAGATGTCCATGTCAGGTCCAAATGAAGGAATTAGGGTAATAGGAAGGGTAGAAAAGGAAAACGACAGATAATTAAGTTACAAATAGATTAGCGCCGGTGCGCAACAACATGCTCCACGTTAAAAACGGGTTAGCACGGATTACCGATGTTCCGAGACAAAATCCAAAAAGTACTTTCAAGATCCATCTACCATTTTAATTTAATTCAACAATCTGAAGATTATAAAATTGAACTAAAATGGGTCTAAATGGAAGGAATAAAAAGGAGGGTTTTATAGGAAACTCCTGGGCGCCTGGTTCCATAGGATAATCACTATCTAAAACAGACTACAACGACGAAAAGAATTTAAAAAATATGTTCACCTACCCAAAAGCGAACAAATAAAGAATTAGTTTAATCTCCAACTTGAAATTTGACCTGACGAAAAGAATTTAAACAAAATTTTGACCTATGATCCCTACAAAAACGAAGTAAAATAACTGATCTTTAAAAAAAGAATAAGTTCCATATCCAACTTAAAGAATCTAATAACAATTTGACTTACGACCCCTAACAAAAACGAACTAAAAGGACAAATCTTTATAAAAAAAGAATAAGTTCCATATCTAACTTAAAGAATCTAATAATAATATTACTTACGACCCCTAACAAAAACGAACTAAAAGAACTGATCTTTAAATAAAGAATTAGTTCCATATTTGCCCTAGCAAAAAGAATCTAAACAAAATTTTGATCTACAATCAGTACAAAAACAAAGTATATCCAACTTAAAAAAAATTATGACAATTTGACTTACGACCCCTAACAAAAACGAACTAAAAGAACTTAACATTAAATAAAGAATTAGTTTCATCTCCAACTTAAACAAGATTTGCGCTGACAAAAAGAATCTAAAAAAATTTTGATTTACGACCCCTAAGAATAAAAAAGAACTGGTCTTTAAAAAAGAATATGTTCCATATTTAACTTAAAAAAAACTAATCGCAATTTGACTTACGACCCTAACAAAAACAAACTAAAAGAACATCTTTAAATAAAGAATTAGTTCCATCTCCAACTTAAACAAGATTTGCCCTAACAAAAAGAATCTAAAAAAATTTTGATTTACGACCCCTAAGAAAAAAAAGAACTGATCTTTAAAAAAGAATAAGTTCCATATCCAACTTAAAAAAACTAATGACAATTTGACAAAAACAAACTAAAAGAACTTTAAATAAAGAATTAGTTTCATCTCCAACTTTAACAAGCCAAAAGAATTTATCTTTAAATAAAGAATTAGGTCCATATCCAACTTAAACAAGATTTGCCCTAACAAATAGAATCTAAAAAAATTTTGATTTACGACCCCTTATATCTTTAAAAAAGAATATGTTCCATATTTAACTTAAAAAAAACTAATGACAATTTGACTTACGACCCTAACAAAAACAAACTAAAAGAACTTATCTTTAAATAAAGAATTAGTTCCATCTCCAACTTAAACAAGATTTGCGCTGACAAAAAGAATCTAAAAAATTTTTGATTTACGACCCCTAAGAAAAAAAAGAACTGATCTTTAAAAAAAAATAAGTTCCATATCCAAAAAAAAAGAACTGATCTTTAAAAAAGAATAAGTTCCATATCCAACTTAAAACAACTAATGACAATTTGACTTACGACCTCTTGCAAAAACAAATAAAGAATTAGTTTAATCTCCAACTTAAACAAGATTTGCGCTGACAAAAAGAATCTAAAAAAATTTTGATTTACGACCCCTAAGAAAAAAAAAGAACTTGTCTTTAAAAAAGAATATGTTCTATATTAAAGTTAAAAAAAACTAATCACAATTTGACTTACGACCCTAACAAAAACAAACTAAAAGAACTTATCTTTAAATAAAGAATTAGTTCCATCTCCAACTTAAACAAGATTTGCCCTAACAAAAAGAATCTAAAAAAATTTTGATTTACGACCCCTAAGAAAAATAGAACTGATCTTTAAAAAAGAATAAGTTCCATATCCAACTTAAAAAAAACTAATGACAATTTGACAAAAACAAACTAAAAGAACTTTAAATAAAGAATTAGTTTCATTTCCAACTTAAACAAGATTTGCCCTAACAAATAGAATATAAAAAAGTTTTGATTTACGACCCCTAACAAAAAAAAGAACTGATCTTTAAAAAAGAATAAGTTCCATATCCAACTTAAAAAAACTAATGACAATTTGACTTACGAAAAACAAACTAAAAGAACTTATCTTTAAATAAAGAATTAGTTCCATCTCCAACTTAAACAAGATTTGCGCTGACAAAAAGAATCCTAAAAAATTTTATTTTACTACCCAAAAGAAAAAAATGAACTGATCTTCCATATTTAACTTAAAAAAAACTAATGACAATTTGACTTACGACCCTAACAAAAACGAACTAAAAGAACTTAACTTTAAATAAAGACTTAGTTCCATATCCAACTTAAACAAGATTTGCGCTGACAAAAAGAATCTAAAAAAGTTTTTATTTACGACCCCTAAGAAAAAAAAGAACTGATCTTTAAAAAAGAATAAGTTCCATATCCAACTTAAAAAAACTAATGACAATTTGACTTACGACCTCTTACAAAACAAATAAGGAATTAGTTTAATCTCCAACTTAAACAAAATTTGCCCTAACAAATAGAATCTAAAAAAAATTTGATTTACGACCCCTAAGAAAAAAAAAGAACTGATCTTTAAAAAAGAATATGTTCCATATTTAACTTAAAAAAACTAATGACAATTTGACTTACGACCCTAAAAAAAACGAACTAAAAGAACTTAACTTTAAATAAAGAATTAGTTCCATATCCAACTTAAACAAGATTTGCGCTGACAAAAAGAATGTAAAAAAGTTTTAATTTACGACCCCTAAGAAAAAAAAGAACTGATCTTTAAAAAAGAATAAGTTCCATATCCAACTTAAAAAAACTAATGACAATTTGACTTACGACCTCTTACAAAAACAAATAACCCTGATAGCACAGTTTATTCTAAGAATGTTTTTTAAACCTTCCAGTGAGAATATTCTTAGGATCATGCTATATTACTTCTAGTCATGTTCTAAGAATGTTTTTTAAACCTTCCAGTGAGAATATTCTTAGGATCATGCTATATATCTTCTAGGCATGTTCTAAGAATGTTTTTTAAACCTTCCAGTGAGAATATTCTTAGGATCATCCTATATTTCTTCTAAAGAACATGCTTAAAAAAAATATAGCATATTCTCACTGGCCTCTAGGCAGGTTCTTAGAAGGTGCAAAGTTTTGTGGTAAAAATTAATCCACTCTAAACATACCTATGCTTAGAATGTTGAGAAAGTAATTAGTATTAAATACTAAGTAAAAAACAACCCAAAATATTTTTTATAGTTATTTATCAAATTTAAACAATATTAGATAACAAAAATACTTTTACTATAGGTATTTTATTTTATGTTAAAAATAAATATTTATTAATTTGTATACCGATTTTTTATTTCTGAATTAACATTTTTATGTATAATAATCCTACTATAGTATATATATAAATATATCTTCAACTTCAATCTAATCTGATTTATCCCACAAAATTTTCCAATTTTACTTTTTATGAAATATGTCATACAACTTATGGTTCAGAGGTCAAATTGTTTATTTAATATTTTTAAATAAATATATATTAAATGTCGCAAATTTTTTTAAGGGGACGACAAATACATTTCACTTTCATATTATGACAGTGAGGCGTATTTGTCGCCTCCTGAAGAATTTTACGAATGTAGAATCCAACATATTAGAACGTGGGTATCTGACATATTTGGAAATATTCTCAAAAGCTTCCTAGAAGCTCCATAAGATACCTTCTGAGAACATTCCAAAAACGTATTCTTA